GTTCCCCCATTTGTTATGCCCCATGCTTTCTGGTTCCCCCATTCGAAATGTAACGCCTGTAAGCGCAGTGTGATCCCACTGGTTCTCCCTTCGCATCTCCTCCCACTCATTCATCCCATCTACCTCGCCCCACTGTATCCCATCCCATTGTTGAATTACATTCCACTCCAATCATGACTCACCAATCCCATCCATCCCACTCTCTTCCCCTCATACCCTTCTGCTCCTCAGCCAAGCTCTAAGCTCGGCTCCAACCCCAATTGGCAGCCCATGGGGGCATACCGCAAGGCCATGGGCGTTCTATATGACTATTTTGATAAAACACCATACAGCGGCCTTCCCATATTCATGACCTTTTCCCCAATTCATGCCGGGAATGCTTGCGCCACCGCCAATGCCCCTTTTGCCAACGAGACCGATGGCGTTGCGCATCTCAATGGCTACACCATTCCGGCTATGAAAAAGCAAGTGTCGATATTCAAACGATCCAAGAAAATCCGGGTTGCGCAAATCACTTATATGAGTGCCCAGCGCCCCGATGCGCATCTGCGATCAAAGAGAAAGGATTGCAGCCACTGGTGCTTGCCAGGGGTCCCTGATGCGTGGGCTGATGTGGTTTACAACATGATGATGAATTATTATTAGCATAAAGGTTAGCCTGCATGGGTGGTTGCGTTTTGAAGGTGGTTTTTGGAGATACAAGTCCAGTAGCCAATAGCTGCAAGGACGTTAGGAAAGAGTTTGCAATAAAGTTCTGAATTTTGCCTTTGTGAGAATTGAAGTGTATGAAATTGTATAAACGAGTTTTGTATCACGCAACTCTTGCCGCAGTCAGACAATTTGTTTTTGCGATCTGCAAACCCGAAGTGACAGAAGCACCTCCGCTGAATTCCAATGCACCATCCGGTTAGGAGAAATACGAGACGAGACTGTGGTGGCTTGTTCCTCGTTTTTCCGCCACTACTGCCGCCGCAGTAGCAATGGCGCGCAAAGAACGGGCGAGTGCGTCCACGGCGTTAGCGGACGTGGCGTGGATGGCGGGCGTGGCGACGTGCATCAAGGTACTGCTGGTGCCGGCGTATCGCAGCACGGACTTCGAGGTGCACCGCAACTGGCTGGCCATCACGCACTCGCTGCCGCTCTCGCAGGTCCGTCCGTCGACAATCGAGATTCATCCCATTCGCCAACCCTAGAATCCAGCAGCCCATTGCGCTTCATGTACTGCCGTCTCGAGGCACCGTACCTCAGGGTTGAATCCCGACCAGACTTTTAAATCCAGATGCTGCACGCGCCCCAAAGCTTTGACAGCTCCTCCCGCTCGTTCTCCGAACAGCTCCATCTCTAATCGTCCACATCCGCTCCTTCGACTCTCCGGGGGGGCTATCACGCGCCTCTTGCTCCCTCCGTTCCCTCGCAAACGTGTGCATCCTTGTTCTGCGACAATGGCAGTGGTACGAGGACGCGACGAGCCAGTGGACGCTGGACTACCCGCCGCTCTTCGCCTTCTTCGAGCGCTGCCTCGCGCTGCTCGCGTGCCGCGTCGACCCGCTCATGACCCACCTCGTTAACGGCCTCGAACACGCCAGCTACGCCACCGTGCTGTTCCAGGTGTGCAGTGCCACACCCCGTGTCATCACAAAATTGACATTGTTGTTTCAAGGCACACCCAAGCGTCACGTCGCAACATGCAACACATCGCACCAGACAAAATCCAACCTGATTCAGAACTCAACACAGTTTATAAACCAATCCTCCCGGCTGCTCCCCCCAGCGCGTATCAGTGATGGCCACGGACTGCCAGCTGGCCGTGGCACGAAATCCAACCCGATACAGAATCCAATCCAAGGTTCAAAATTACGGTTTTCGTAAAGTACGGTCCGTTTTTTACGGTGATTTTTCAAAAAACGGCCGTTTTTTTGTTAGAGAACTCTGTTCACCAAGAAAAAAAAGAGAAAAACAAGGTCAAAAACATTTTCAATCATGCCAACAAGCGCATACATGCAAGAAGGGGTCCATCCCCTTCATGCTGCTGCATTTCTGGTTCAATTTGGTCCAACTAAGTGGCCGTTTTGTTAGTTACAGAGGAAACACCTCCTGGAACCGTTTTAAACCGTTTTTTACGACCGTTTTTTACGGTACCGTTTTTTACGGTAAAATTTCAATAAAACGGTCGTTTTTTTTAACCCTGATCCAATCCCCCTCCCGGCTGCTCCCCCCAGCGCGTATCAGTGATGGGCACGGACTGCCTGCTCGCCGTGGCAGCGTGGCGCTGCACGCGCGGCCTGCCCTCTCGGGCGCACTGCAACGTGGCAGCGGGGGCGGTGGTGCTGTCAGCAGGGCTGCTGCTGGTGGATCACATGCACTTCCAGTACAACGGCATGCTGCTTGCAATGCTGCTACTCTCCCTCGCCCTCCTCGCTGTACGTCTCCCCCGTGATGCATCTGCGTCTCGCGCCGCTGCTGCTTCACTCAGTCGATCGTTGCTTCTAGTGCTTCATCTCACTTAAGCTGACTCGAATTTCCCGCACCGATGGCTCGGTGTGTTGCGTGGCATGGCAGGACGGGAGGCACGTGTGGGCGTCACTCACCTTTGCGTCTCTCTGCTGCTTCAAGCACCTCTTTGCCGTCGCTGGTCCCTTCTTCCTCGTCTTCCTCCTCCGCCACCACTGCTTCCCTTCACCCCCCGCCGCCGCTGCACCGCACACCACCACACACAACAGCTCCAAACCGCCCAGACGCATTTCCCCTGGTGCGAAACAGCAATCCACTTCAGCCTCGGCGCCAGGCAGCTCCATCCCCCTCCTCACCTCGCTCGCCCGTATAGTCACACTGGGAGCAGTGGTCGTCACAGTGCTGCTTGTTTCCTTCGCCCCCTTTATAGTCACAAACCAGATGCCCAACCTGATCGCCCGTCTGTTCCCCTTCGGCCGCGGCCTCATGCACGCCTACTGGGCGCCCAACTTCTGGGCTCTCTACACTCTCGCGGACAAGCTCCTCGCTGCTGCAGCTTCGGCAGCAGGCTCGTTAATAGGGTCGGCAGGAGGTCCGGCGTTGGGAAGGAAGGGCGGCTGGACCCGGGGGTTGGTGGGGGATGCAGTTGGGTTCAGCGTGGTGCCACAGGTGACGCCGCTGGTGTCTCTACTGCTGGTGCTGGGTGCTATGGCGCCCGTGCTGCTGCATATATGGCTCCGACCCTCCGCCTACATCTGTGGTGCTGCCAGTGACGCTGCTGACAGGGATCGTGCAGACAGGAATGTTGGTGAGAGGGATGGTGGCGAAAAGGGCGGGAGAGAGGGTAGGGGGAGTGAGCCCTATGACACGCCCACAGGGGAGCGGCGGCGGTGGAGCATACAGGCCATAGCAGCAGCGCTGGCGCATGTGTTTCTGAGTGCGTACTTACTGGGATGGCACGTGCATGAGAAGGCAGTGTTGCATTTCCTGCTGCCGCTCTCCCTCCTCGCCTCCGCCTCGCCTGCATGGGCGTCTGAGTTCCTCATTCTCGCCACCGGTGAGTGCATGCTGCTAGCCCTTCTATCACTCTCTCAACTTTGAACCCATCATGCTTCATCTCCAGCTCACTCATTGCGCTCTTTCTATCTCTCCGCCCTTCACGCCCTTGCATTTCCTGGCCTGGCCTCGCTGTGCCTCGCCGCTGCCTGCTCACCCATCTCCATGCTTTGTTGTGTCCTGCATGCGTCATCCTCTCCCCTACACGTTTCTGACCCTTGCAACCCCCCCCCCCCCCCCCTCTCTCCCACCCACACCTCCAGTGGCTCATTATTCCCTCCTCCCCCTCCTCTTCACACTCCCCGAGTATCCCATCAAGATCCTCCTCCTCTCACTCTTTTCCCTTGCCCTCCTCCTCTCCTCCCTCCGCCTCTTCTCCCCCACTCTCAACCGCCAACCCACTACCTCAATGCACCAATCACCACCTCATAAAAACTCGTCAAATCTACGGCTCCCCAAGTTGCAGTATCCATCGTGGTTGCACAGGCTACGAGTGGTACATGCTTTGGGTGTTTTACCCTTGGAAATGCTGTGTCAGCTGCTGTACCACCATCCACGGCTGCATGCACACCTCCCTTTCCTTCCTCTGCTCCTCACTTCAGTGTACTGTGCAGTGGGCATTACTGTAGCCTGGGCTGTACAATTGTATGTTATTGTCAGTTCCTGACCCCTCCTTTTGTCCACATCATTATGCAGTCTGATTTGCACACTTTCATCGTACATTTCAATAATCTCCTTTGCACTGCAGGGTGTAATTGCATGCAAAGTGAGCAAGAGTATCGTGAGCAACAGCATCGTGGTGGAAACTGATGGGGTGGAAAGGAAACTGATGGGGTGGAAACTGATGGGGTGGAAACTGATGGGGTGGAAACTGATGGGGTGGAAACTGATGGGGTGGAAACTGATGGGGTGGAAAACTGATGGGGTGGAAAACTGATGGGGTGGAACCTGATGGGGTGGAACTGATGGGGTGGAAACTGATGGGGTGGAAATTGATGGGGTGGAAACTGTTAGGGTGGAAACTGATGGGGTGGAAACTGATGGGGTGGAAACTGATGGGATGGAAACTGATGGGGTGGAAATTGATGGGGTGGAAACTGATGGGGTGGAAACTGATGGGGTGGAAACTGATGGGGTGGAAACTGATGGGGTGGAAACTGATGGGGTGGAAACTGATGGGGTGGAAACTGATGGGGTGGAAACTGTTAGGGTGGGGGTGGGAACTGATGGGGTGGAAACTGTTAGGGTGGGGTGGGAACTGATGGGGTGGAAACTGGTGGGGGTGGAAACTGATGGGGTGGACGTGAGCTCGAGTATCGTGAGCGCACATTGTCAGCACCAGCATCATGAGCAACAGCATCTTGAGCAAATATGCATTAACTAGAATATACGGTAATAGCCATGATGTGGAAAACTGAATTCAAATTCCTGCTAGTATCCTACCACCGTTACACACATGCATGACTACTATACACTAAATCTACACTACACAATTACACTTTCCGTATCCGTCTTGCAATCTTCGCCAGCAGTTTGTGCACCACCTTGGGGTCCTTCACCTTGGGCTTGCCGCCCTTCTTGCCGTCCGCCTTGCGCCCGTCTGAGAAGAGCAGGTAGTAGTCCAGCTGGCACGCGTCCGCCAGGTGGTGGAACGTGGGGTCCGCCTCCTCCTCTGGCCTGATTTCTACCACTGCCCCTCCTGCACACACCCAGGGGAATGGGTGGGGTCATGGAAGGGTAAGGCAAGGTAAGGGAGGGAAGAAAGGGGGAAGAGGAGGGGAGGGGGGGGTGGAGACGATGAGGTGAAGAGAAGATTGGGCCGCGAGAATGAAACAGATGCTTCCCCTCCCCAATAACTCACCAGCGGGCATGAAGACCATATCTGCCAGCACGTTATCATGCGCCGCCACCAGCAGTCTCGCGCGGTTGAAGAGCTCCTTGCGCTTGCCAAAGGGCAGCGAGCCATCGCGGTACGTGACAATGCGGTCCTGGGGCAGCCACTTGAGCAGCTGCTGCGTCAGCTTGAGCGTCTGCACCAGCGGCTTCCACTCGTCGCGCATCGCCACCACCACGATCCAGTCGCTGCCCGCTGATAGATCCTCCCCCTTGCGCCTGCGGTACGTTGGCTTGAACTCTGCCGTGTGGGAAGGGGAAGAGGGGAGGGTGATTTAGGTGCCAAGAGAACAAGAACTTGTGGGGTTGAGCTCGGGGAGGGGAGATGGGGAGGTATGGCAGCAGATGGCATAGTTGCAGATCAAAATGGTACATAGGGTTGTGACGCATGAGAAAAGGGAGAGAGGTGGGGTGTACCATGGCGGTAGATGGGGAGGCCCGGCTTGGGCAGCAGGTTGCGGTGGCGCAGGTACGACCACATGGCCCTGCTGGGCCGCCCACACCGCTGCTTCAGTGGCTGTGGGCGCGCACACACACAAGGGCGGGGGGGTGAAGGGAGGAGAGCACAGGAGTCAAGAAGTGAGGGGAGAAGAGGAGAATGCGGTGCTCTGAGTGCTCTGTGGTGCTCTTTGGTGCTCTGTGGTGCACTGTGGTTATCTTTGGTACCATGTGGTACTCTGTTGTGCTGGTGCTCTGTTGTGCTGGTGCTCTGTTGTGCTGGTGCTCTGTTGTGCTGGTGCTCTGTTGTGCTGCTGCTCTGCTCTGCTCGAGTTGCCCAACACTCACGAGAATGAGGCGTTCAGCAAAGAACAGCTCCCCCTCTTTGAGAATCTGCGGGTCCATCCACTCCAGGCGCACCCCCACCAGCTTTCAGCGCCCCAGCCTAGTTTTGAGGCGCCTCAGAACTATACCCCATGGCACTCACGAGAATGAGGCGTTCAGCAAAGAAGAGCTCCCCCTCCTTGAGAATCTGCGGGTTCATCCTCTCCAGGCGCACCCCCACCAGCTCCCAGTGCCCCAGCCCCGTCGCCTGCTCCATCTGATTCTTCACATGCCGGTCCCGCAACCCCAGCGCCACCGGCACTCCCCCCCCCTTCAACAGCGGCAGCACTGTATCGAGCGTGACTATGGACGGCACCAGGTCTAGCATGTAGGCTCGGGCGGACCACCCGAACCAGTCGACGAGGGAGATGAGGCTCGGGAAGGAGGAGAGTTGGGTGTTGCCGGGGGTGTAGTGGAAGGGTGAGTCGGCGGCGCAGGCGTTGTGGTCGAAGAGGTGCGTGGCGTTGAACACCTGGCCTGCCACGTTGATGTACACGTTGTGCAGCAACAGCACCTGGTGGGGAGGGGAGAGGACCGGAAACGGGAGGGGTTAGGTGAGGTTGTCTGGCGTTGAATACCTGGCCCTCCACGTTCACGCACACGTTGTGCAGCAGCAGCACCTGGTGGGGAGGTGGGGGAATAGGGGGTGGGGGAAACGCGGAAGAAAAGAGGGATAACGGTGGGAAGGGGAAGGGGAAGGTGTGTGGTGTTGAGCCCATGCCCTGCCACGTTCACACACATGTTGCGTAGCAGCAGCATCTGGTGGGGGGGAAGGGAGGAGTCAGGGGGAGAAGGGAGAGGGGGGAATGAGAGAACGGGAGGGGAAGGATCAGGTGCAGGTGTAGGTGGTCGAGCAGCAACCCGGCAGTACCGCCATGCACACTGTGAGGCGGCAGACGCACCTGGTGGGTGTGATAGGGGGGAGGGAGGCGGCCGGAGTGGGCCAAGGCATGGGCAAAGCGAGGTGAGGAGTGGGCGCCGGTGAGCGCTGCACATTGGCGCACCCGCTGTGTGACAGCTGCTCCCGCCCGCGGTGATGGGTGAATTCAGAGGAGTGGGTTGAAGGAGCGGAATGCGAGCAAGGTGGGGTATGGGATGGGAACGGGACAGGGAGCGAGGGGATGCGTGGAAGTGAGAGATTGGGAGGTCAAGGTGGGAGGGACGAAGGGGGGAAGGGTAGACTTTTGTTGTTTTTGTTTGTTTCATTTTTCTTTCAGGAATCTTTCTCCTTTCCATTGACCCAACTGACCCCTAGTTTGAAAATGGAGCCAAAACCTGAACCCCAAACCCTGTACCACGTGCAGCACGTTTCCTTTCGCAGATGAAGTGCGCAGCACGGGGTGTGCGTGGACACACGTTCCCCGCACATTCACTTTCGCGTATCACACGAGCCCAATGCGCTTTTCTGCACCTCTTCCTCTCCGTTCATCCCGTTGCATTCAAACAGCCCCAGCCCGCCTACGCGCATCTCAGCATTCTTTGCTGCATGGGGTGTCGTGTGTGAATCGGATCGCTTACCTTGACGAATTCTCGACCATTCACTGATCGATAGCTGTTCCCTTCAATTCCCCCTCTTATACCCCTCCCTTCCCGCCCCTTCCTTCCCCACACGTCACACAACTCTTTCCCCCTCTCTCCGTTGTCTCCCCCCCGCCCAGTCCATTACCCGGGACGCACCTGCGCGGACCACGGCTCGTGGGGCTGCTTGTCGGCCTCCTGCATGCACCCGGCGTCCGTCGCATTCGCACAATTCGCCGGTAGCGACGCTGGCGAACGTAACACGTCTTCGATCGGGCTTCGCCAGCACGACGCGATGCCCGGGAAGCCCTCGTAACCGTACTCGAACGTCGGGCACTCCGGACCGCGACTCGCCTCGAAAGGTGGATCTACCTTCCCCGGATTGTTCTCCTGGAACCGCGTCGCGTCTAAGTACACCCGCTGCAGGTTCTTCTTGTCGATGTTAACCTTTAGAACTTTGCGCTTCGGCTTCGCTATTGTCAGATCCGGATACTTGCCGTTGAGCGGCGCCCACCGCGCTAAAGGCGCTTTCACTCGTCGCTTTTTCCGTTTCGTCGTTGCGGGTTTCGTTACACCGGCGGGTTGCGTCACGCTGACGATCACGTTAGCAGCAGGTAGCGGCTTCTCGCTGATCGCATCTGACTTCTTATCTCCCGTTGACAATCCATCGCCCCGCAAACCCGCAGATTTGACAAGCGGTGCATCGTCTGCTGATTTACGCGCCGCCTCATTCCTCGTCGTATCTTCTACCGCGTCGGCCACCGCCTTGCCTCGCTCGCTAGGGGCTTCTTGCGTGTTTTGCGCCGCGCTCACCGCCCCCAAGTCCTCCGAATCCAACGTCCCCGCGAGATCCGTTTCCTCCCCCTGCCCGTCCGTTCCTGATAGCGATATTTGCGGCACCGGTTCCTCGTTGGCCAACGAATCGCTCGCAAATACGTCTATAGATGTCGCCCCCGCGGCTCCCGTACCGAGGAGGTCTCTAACGAGGGGTTTGTCCCCGCCGCCGGCTATTTTCGCGCGTCGACTGAGGGCGTTCAACGACGACGCGATGGCTTCGGAGCGCGAGGAGAGGATCCAGAAGAGGACGGCGGCGGCGAGGAAGAGCAGCATGAAGCGCATGCAGCTGCCGCCGCCCACGCTCGCCACCGTGCTCGGCTTCCGCTGCACCCTCTGCGGCGCTCGCCGCTTCGGCTTCATGCTGGAGCCGGATCAATGGCTCGGATTGAACGAATGAAAAACCAGCAAACTAATTTGCAGGTCTTGATGCCGATAGTATTGAATGGTTGGGAGCTGGGCGCTCCAATTGCATGCAATTGATGGATGTCGGGCGGACAAGCATACAGAACTATCAACAAAGGATGATGGATTCGAAATGTGTAGCGTCGATTACTTGGAATCTTGAAGAATTTGAATCTACGGCATGGCTGCCTCTCCTCGCTGGTTTTCACATGTCCCGGCCACCTGACCAGCTGGGCCAATGATGTGCCTTTCCCTCAACGACTTTCGACCACCAAACATACGAATCCCTTGCCTGTGCCCTTGGTTCGGCAAAATTTGATAAACTGGCTTGGCCTTGGTTGGCCTGTTCTTTCTGGTCAGGTTTCAGCTGATGTGCCGCAAGGCAGCCTGCAAGGAGGCTGTGCTGTGCAGTGTGGTATGGAGCGCAGGTTCGGTACGAAGTGGCCTTCAGGGGGGGCTTGGGCAGGTGGAACCGACTCTCCTGTCAATAACGCATGAATCACAGGTGTGACTGCAGGTGCCGCAGGTGCCCATGCCGACCAGCGAGGCGCGAAAAATAGCCACGTGGAAGATCTGGAAGAAATTCATTGGCTCTAAGGAAACAACACTAGGAATGTCTTCGTTATTGTTTACAGCTGTTTTTTACAGTCTGGTGCTGCTGCGTTCCGCTACGATGCCCTTGTACAAGCGTTTTTTTTGGGAATGGAGGCGATATTTGGTTACCAAAGTTGCCAAAGTGTTATGAATCAACTTGCAGAGTGCGCAGTAAAACGAATAACGAGAATGGAAATTACTGAATTACTGAATGAAGAAACAATCAAGTAGCGAGGCCTAAATAGGGGAAAACCTAGCTAGGCGGGGGGTTCGGGATGGGATGGCTCGGTGATGGTTGCGATTGGAGCGGAGGCCGACTCGGGAGTGGTTCGGTGCGACGAAATAGGAAGGTCAGGTTCGTCGCGTGACCCTCGAGATGGCCTCGCTAACGAGTGCCTCAGTAAGGATTTGTAAATCCTTACACAAAGTCAAGACGAACCGCCGCCGTCATCTGATCGCGCGTCGCTACATTGGTTGGACCATAAAGTGAGGACGCGGTGAAAGTGGAGAATCGATCGCCTAAGGATCGTTTTTTAGCGCGGTTATAAAAGGTTGTGTACCTTTCGTGTCCAAAACGCAGGGTTCAGTGCGGTGACCGAATCGATCTACCCCCGATCCAGCACTTTTACCGCGTCCTGAACCCGTGTCGTCTGTAATCTCGTTTCCATTTCTCCATTCCTGGAGCACTCTTCGCTATGCGTTCATTCGAGTTGGCGCTTGAGCTAGACCTTTCCTAGCTGAGGCCTCTTGGAACAGGTGCATATAGTGACCTCGTAGCGAATAAGGGCCGCAATAAATATAACGACATGGCGGGCTAATAGTGCAGCCAGGGCTCGCCTTATCGAAGCCAGTGGTAGGGATGGTTCATCGAAGCTTCGCGGCGCAGTCGCTAAGCGTCGCTCTCTTCGTCGCATTATCTGTCGTTCAGCCCATCCCGGCGGCCGTCGCGGTGAGCCCGCTGGGCCTCGCCGCCATTCAGCGGCACTCGCGGCTGGTCGCGCGCTCGCGGTCGCATCGCGGATGCAACTACCTCAAGGGAAGGTACTGCTGGACAGGCTTTGGAGGAATATATTAGAGAGCGTAGCGATAGCGAGAGAGTCTCTGCTATGGGAATGATGTTGCGCCAGCAACTTGGTAGAGTTTTGGTAGCGTTTGCCTCTAAGGACTTTGTGAGAATTGAAGTAGCATTTGGGCCAAGTAGAATTGCAATATCAATTATCAAACACACAAGCAAACACAAACATATATAGGCAAGCAAGAGTTGCACAATTGTTGCGTGGCGCTGCGAGTAACCCAACCCACACGAAAGTGCTGTGCAGGTGGGTGAACGCGCCCCGCACATTTCCAACCCAACTCGGCACCGGAATGTCTCACCGTGCACGCTACTCCTGCCAACACAGCAAGTGAGCAGCGTGCCTCACAAGCAAGGCACCTACGACCCCCAAGACTCGTCATTCCTAGCACCGATTCCGCCGAGTTCGCTGCAGTAGCTCACAGTCACCCGTAGTCACTAATGACCGCCACCGAACTCGTGCGTCGGTGCCGAGTAGACTCAGTCGTTAGGCGCCGACCTGCCAAGTCAAAGGTCATCGAGGGCCCTTGCTGTCGTAGGGCCCTCTAACACTCCCCTGCCATACTACAGCAAGGCCCTTTATAATCACAGGGCATGCATACACACATACACACCAAAACAAAGGGATACACACAAACGAAACACGCTCAAAGTGTAAACACGCACCGCACCAGCCATGGATAGGCCATGGCACCATCCACATCATGGAGTGTCTAGGTCTTCACTCCCCTCACTCGAGAGCCGCACCTGCCCCACAGCCTCGAAGCAACGACTGAAGGCGGGGAAATACAATGCCTTTGTGAGGTAGTCAGCAGGCTGCTCGCTCGTAGGGATGTACTGCAGCTGCAGCTTTCTGCGCTTGACCATGTGCTGCAGCCACATGTGACGACGCTCCATGTGCTTGAGGCTCCCCTTGAGCCCCATGCCACCTGCCACTGAAATGGCGGAGGAGTTGTCCACAAAGAGAGTCGTGGGCTCCTCACTCCTCAGCAGTTGAAACTCTGCCAGCAGGAAGCGCAGCCTGCGCGCCTCCTTCCCAGCCTCCACAGCAGCAACGTACTCAGACTCAGTGGAGGAAAGGGTGGCGCAACGAATCCGCTGGCTCGCCCATGAGACAGCAGCACCCCCGAGCACGAAGACATAGCCACCTGTGCTGGTCCTGTTCTGCTTGTCCCGTGCATCATCAGCATCGGCGTAGCCCACCAGCTCCAAGGACTCCGGCCCACCACCAAACTCCAGCGCCACATCCCTGCTCCCCACCAAGTACGTCAAGCACTGGTCCAACTCCTTCCAGTGCTGATCACTCCGCACAGTCAGGGCCGACCCCAGCTTGCTGCAGGCGAACGAGATGTCGGGACGGGTTGTACAGGCCGCGAACTGCAAGGATCCCACCTTCTGCCTGTACTCCTCCTCCTGGCGAGACTGCCATCCCACATCCTCGAAGGTCTGCACACTGAAAGGGTCAGAGGAAAGAGGGGTGCGAGGCACTCGCAGCGGCTGCTCCCCGTCGAAGAAGCGCCTATGGACCTTGTCCACATAGGCCCCCTGGTGCAGCCACAGCCTCCTTGTAGGCCTGTCCCGAATCAGCTGCAACCCCAGATATTTCTCCACGGGGCTAATCTCCCGCAGCTGAAAGGCACTCTGCAGCAGGTCACGCAGCTCCCCTAGCATGCTCTGACTGCGGCTGGCAGCAAGCAAGTCATCCACATACACCAGCAGCCAACACATCTCCCCCGCAGCATCAGTCTTGAAGTACAGAGCCTCATCCACCTTGCTCTTCTTCCATCCAGCCCCAAGCAGCACCCCATCCAAGGCCTCATACCATAGCATCGGGCTCTGCTTGAGCCCATACAGACTCTTCACCAACTTACATACACGAGGAGTCCCATCCTCGTAGTAGCTCGGCTGCTCCATGTAAAGGTCTCGGTCCAGCACGCCATGGAGGAACGCGTTCTTCACATCGAGCTGCATCAGGTCCAAATCAAGTGCAGCTGCAATCGCCAGAAGCACACGCGCCGTCACATAGCTTCCCACAGGGGCGTACGTCTCCTCATAGTCCACCCCTGCCACCTGCGTGAACCCCTTCACCACCAACCTCGCCTTCTCACGCCCCACTATCCCATCCGGTCGGAACTTGGTGTTCAAAATCCAGCGGTTCTTCATCACATTCACCCCTGGCGGACGCGGAACCAACTCCCACGTCCCCTGCTCAATCAAGCTCCGCATCTCCTCATCCATCGCCTCCTTCACCTTGTCGCCCTTCCAGCAGCCCAAGGCCTCCTTCACTGTCATCTTCGCTATATCCCACTGCCTCTCAGGGTCAGCCACCACGTCAGGGTCCAGGTCTGTCCACTCCTCGTCCTCCTCCTCGTCATCCAATCCCGCTGGCTCAACCACTAAAGCCCAAGCATACTTAAGAGGGGGGATACCACGGGTGATGCGAGTGGAGCGACGCAGTGGCGCAGTGATCGTCCCAGAAGCCAACACACGACCACCATCTCTAATTCCCCACATCTCCTGCTCCCCTGTCTGCGGCTCCCCTGTCTGCTGCTCCCCAATCTGCTCCTCCCCTATCTGCTGCTCCCCAATCTGCTGCTCCCCTGTCTGCTGCTCCCCTGTCTCCTGCCCCCCACTCTGCTGCACTCCATCCATGCTGCTCTCGTCCTGCAGCTGCTCAGTCACAAGGCGCTGCCCGTCGGTGATCATCACAGACGGCGACACCACTGTCCCCCCCTCACCAACGGGCAGCGCCGTGGAAGACGAAGAGGAGGGTGGGGCAGGTGCAGGAGGGGTGGAGGGTGAAAGGGGAGAGGGAATAACAGGAGGAGGAGGGGTAGCCAAGGGGGGTGAGGATGCGGTAGGAGGAACCACACGAGGGTACACAGTAGGAGGGGGTGGGGTGGGTACTGAGGTAGGGACATAGGGCATAGGAGGAGGTGCGACCACTTCCTCCTCCTCCACCTCCTCCTCAAGAGTGCCTGGGAAGAGTGAAGGAAGGGGCTCATAGGGCATCGGACGCCCCCCATGCTCCTGCTGATGCCAAGCCTTCCATCCTGCTAGGGACATGGTCTCATAGAACACAGCTTCCACAGTGGTGATGAGGCGGTTGGACTCCAAGTCCAGCACGGCCCAGCCCTTGCTCGCAGCTGACACACCCAAGTGCAACCCCCAGCGAGCCTTAGGCGCCAGCTTCCCCCCACGCTGCGACTGTGGTACCATGTACTGCAGCATGCAGCCCCAAACACGCACCATACTGACATCAGGTTTGCGTCGGAAGGCGAGCTCGTACGGCGTCACACCAGAGGGTAGTGAGGCGTGCTCCACGCGGTTGCGCACCCAGACGGCCTGAGCCAACGCCAGGTGCCACCAGTGATGCTGCACACCCATGTGCAGCAACATCGTCCGCACCGCCTCCACAATGCTGCGCATCTCCCTCTCGGCCATCCCGTTCTGCTCCGGCGTGTACGGGCATGTGAGGTCATGGATGATGCCTTTACCGTCGAGGAAGAGCGTGAAGTCGTGCCCCAGGAACTCGCCACCCCGATCAGTGCGCAGCGCCTGCACCGTGGTCTTGCACTGTCGCTCTGCCATCGGGAGCCACTTCTGGAACGCCGCCAGCGCATCACTCTTCTGGGCCAAAGGGTAGGCCCAGACAAACCGCGTCTTGCGATCTTTCAGCACCAAGAAGTAGCGGCTGCCATCCTTAGCTGCTTCACGGAAAGGGCCACACAGGTCAGCATGCACCACCCCGAGCAACTCATCCTCCTCCTCTCCCACAGAAGGAAAGGTATGACGAGTGATCTTTCCCCCAACACAGGAGACACAAGGTATGCCTGACTTGCCCCCCTTCTCCAAATCCAAGCCCTTCACTGACCCGTGAGCCACTGTGCGCTCGATGGCATCAATACCAACGTGTGCCATACGCGCATGCCACAGGTCCCCCTTAGACCGCACGCCCGTCGCCAAGGTACGAAGTGCCACCGTTTCGCCTTCCTGCTGCTGCGTCGAACACGGCTGGAAGTTCGTGCAGAGAACACGCCCCTTGAACTCCGCACGACCAAGGAGCGATCCATCTGGTGCCCGCAGCAAAGTCACATCCCCGGCATCCAGCAGCTGCACACCACTATCACGCAGCTGCCCAGCAGAGAGAAGACTCGCCTGCACTCCTGGTACGTACAGCACGTCCGGCACCAAGACACGCCTGCCCCCCTCTCCAAGAAGAGCGACTGTGCCCCGCCCCTGCACCTCCTGGAGAGCGCCGTTGAAACCGGTAACCTGTTTAATACTGCCGCTGCTGCTCATCTCCACAAAGGCAGAACGATCTCCCATGAGATGGTGGGAGCATCCGCTATCAAGCAGCACGACGCTCGGGTTCGCCTTCACAGCAGCTGCAACAGCCTGTAAGCCCTCCCCGGCCTCAGGCTCTAGCACAACGAGAGGAGTCTGCTCCACAACGGGCTTCACCATTGCACATGATGACTGCCCGCTCCCCTTAGAGCCATCACCCCCCTTTCCGCTGCTACCTCCAGAACCCTCTCCACTAGTGTCTGCCTCCTTATCCGCCCCCTGCTGACAGTACTTAGCAACATGCCCTGTCTGTCCACACACATAGCACTTCCTCTTGAAGCCCCCTTTCCCCCCCTTCGGCTGGCCATCCTTACCCCCTTTCCACTTCTCCCCTCCCCCACCAACCCCACCCCCAGTCTTAGGCTGCTGCTGCTGTGCCGTAGTGGGAGGGGAAGGGAATGAAGTCTGCTGGAATTGGGGCTTACCCTTCTTGGTAAAGACCTGGTTAGCCTGGGGAAGGAATTGGTCCTTTCGTCCCTCCGCCGCCAGCGTACATTCCTCCTCGATAATGTAGCTAGCGAGGGTGTCCTCGTCCAACTCCTTGCGCACCTGCGGCAACTTCAGCATCCTGCGTAAGAGGTTGTACTGCTGCGGCAACCCCTTCACAACGTGAGTAATGTACGACGCCTGCGAGTAATCTACGCCGGCCATCCTCAGGTTCACTAGGATCTGCTGCGCACGGTTGCAATAGGACGTAGCGGACTCATGCTCTCCCATCTCGAGGTTAGTGAGCGCCTGCTCTAGCTGACCTATGTACAGGTCGTCCTTCGCCATATACGTGCGCATGATAAACTGCCATGCCTGAAAGCCGGCATCTACCTTGAAGCGGCACGCCTTAAGGGCGATCTGTACGGTTGGGGAGCAGCATCGGGAAATGGCGGTGAACGTTAGCAACTGCATCGCGCGGAACTGAGAGAGATGTGCAAGTGCACGCGCTGGTGGAATGGGAGTGGTGCCATCTATGAATCGCTTTAACTGAGCGATCTCAAGCTGCGGCTCGATCGATTCTGTCCACGTCGACAGGTCGTGACGTCCTTCTAATGGCCTAGGGACGACGATCTTGTCTGGAGTGAATTTGAAGAAGCCATAGTTGGGGGCTATTCCCTCGTCCCTCGACATCGATCCAATCGGGGTAATGCCCGGCATAGCCTCACTATCGTACTCTTCCGCATTTCCTCCTCCAGCAACGCTCCGCCGTCCTACATTCGCATGCTCTCGTGACGCTGCTGCACGATGAACACGCTCCTGTACACCGCCGACGCTAGCCGTACTAAACCGAGTTGGTCCTCGCAGGACCCCACGCGACATCAACCCATCAAGCTCCTCGTCATCGCTATTTCCGCCATCGCCAAGCATATCCCACGCACTAGTACCTCCCGCAGCTTGCTCAACATTCTCTACACGTGGCGAGGGATGGTCGCGACGCTGACGAGAGCGTAATCCCTCCATCATGAGCTCGTATTCTAGATCACTAAGCTCACCACGAGAATGACGGGCCTCGAGATCCTCCTCTAGTGCGCGAAGACTACCGGTCTCCACGTTCGTCTCCTCCGTACTCATCCTCTACGACGTCTCTACAAGGTACCACAAATTAAAATAAATTGTCCCTTCCTTGAATCCCTCGTCTCGGGGTCACCTCACAAGGGTCCTCAGACGAATGGTAATAAATTACCAAGCGCCCTATCCTTGGGTCCGAGAACGTAACTGGAGGGAAATTAAGAGAGGTTCAACTTAAATTAATGAGCGCCCTTCACTAACGCCGCACGCCAAGGCGAGTATACTAACGAACGTCGACGGAAATCTATGCGTGTTCGTTCCACGCTCACCGCACCATGAAGGAATATATTAGAGAGCGTAGCGATAGCGAGAGAGTCTCTGCTATGGGAATGATGTTGCGCCAGCAACTTGGTAGAGTTTTGGTAGCGTTTGCCTCTAAGGACTTTGTGAGAATTGAAGTAGCATTTGGGCCAAGTAGAATTGCAATATCAATTATCAAACACACAAGCAAACACAAACATATATAGGCAAGCAAGAGTTGCACAATTGTTGCGTGGCGCTGCGAGTAACCCAACCCACACGAAAGTGCTGTGCAGGTGGGTGAACGCGCCCCGCACATTTCCAACCCAACTCGGCACCGGAATGTCTCACCGTGCACGCTACTCCTGCCAACACAGCAAGTGAGCAGCGTGCCTCACAAGCAAGGCACCTACGACCCCCAAGACTCGTCATTCCTAGCACCGATTCCGCCGAGTTCGCTGCAGTAGCTCACAGTCACCCGTAGTCACTAATGACCGCCACCGAACTCGTGCGTCGGTGCCGAGTAGACTCAGTCGTTAGGCGCCGACCTGCCAAGTCAAAGGTCATCGAGGGCCCTTGCTGTCGTAGGGCCCTCTAACAGGCTTTGCCTCGTAAAAGAGAAGAGTCGAGTCACCTTGAGCGCAGGAAGCCAGGGTTGTGGCGTGAGCGGCAGCTTTTGCGCGCGGGAGGGATTTCTGTGAGGCAGATCGAGCCGGTAACACTGCCACGAGGTCCGACTCTATCCACTGGATATAAATCAAGGGAACTTGCTGTGGGTTACCCGAGGTATCCTGCATTGGGGGTGAATTGTGTCCCCTCGCAAGTTTTGAGACGCACATGGAACATTCGAGGTAGAGCAGCCTTGTTACGATCCCCACATTGTCGTTGCTGATGTTCCTGTCTTCCCTTAATGCAATACACTGCCTCGGTGCACCCTCAATGTACGTTTGACCCTGGTGATCCTTGTTCATTCTCCCTGACCCTGTTTGGCCTCCTTGTTGACTCCCGTTGACTCTGTTTGACCGCAGCTGGGTGGACACGTCAACCATACCCGGCTACAGGCCGCCCTACAGCGCCAGCTGCTCTGAGTTCAGTTGTGATGGCGTGGCCGACGGGCGCCAGAACCCCGCTAGTTTCGTGTGGCAGCCCTTCCCACCCTGCTCCTACCAGCTGTGGCGGTACGGCATCGCACCCCTGCGTGCTCTCCTGGTCCTGGCTGTGCTCGTCCCCTCTCCATTCCAACGTACACACACCATGCGCTGTTAACCCCACCGCCGTCTCTCTTTACGCTCACGCCCCTAGCTCCGCATCTCCTCTCTCCCTCGCTCCCCTGCCCAATAGGATGCAGCCACGTGTACTGCTGGAGAGGTACCGCAACAGTGTGATAGCATTTGTGGGCGACTCTTTGAACGACAATCTCGTGGCCTCCTTTCGCTGCACCCTCGCTGCTGTCACGCCCTTCCAGGTGCGCCCTGCCCTTCCAGGTGCGCCCTGCCCTTCCAGGTGCGATCCCTGCTGCCCACTGTCCATGCGTGGGGCAGCGCCTTGAGGGCAGGTGCCGCTGCACAGGTGACGCACCTGTCTGCTGGTTGCTCCACCATCCCATTTCCTGCCCACTCCGCACCGTCCCACCCCTCACTCCCCCCTCTCTTCTTCCCTCTCCTCCCCTTCCCCCCTCTTCTATCCCCCTCATCTCCCGTCCCCGGTCCCGTGCGCTGGCAGCACGTGCGGGTGAGGGTGGGGGGGAGGCGGTACCGCAACGCAGTGGAGCTGCCGGCATATAGCCTCACCGTCGTCACCATCGCCAGTGGCAAGCTCACCCGCCTCGTCAACTCGGTACGCAACATGCCTTCTGCTGGAGCCCCACTCACCTGTCCCATGCGCCTGCTTCTTTAGCCACCTCAGTGTCACTTTACCCCGCTCACACTACTTCTCCCCTCTGCAAAACTCGTCCTCCGTCCGCGTCTCTCCTCTCCTCCCCCCGCGCGTCTATCTCCCCCACTCTCTCTCCCCTCTTGCAAGCAGAGTTCAGCGAGGGTGAGGGTGGACGGGCAGTGGGCGGCCATACTGCCACTGACAGCAGCCATGGTCTTCACAGCCGGCCACCGCTTCTTCCACCAAGTCTGCTGCTCACACGCAGCAACGCCTGCCATCCTCCTCTGCCGTACCTCCCATCCCACCCCTCCTGTTCGTTTTGCCAGCACTCTGCCCCATCCTCTTGGCTGCTGCTGCTCTGCTTGTTTCATGGATACTATGCTCATTATATCTCAGCCCCCAGTTTCTCTACACACACAAACGTATCCAATTCATGCCATCCCCTCTCCACGAGAATCAATTCTTACTGGTATAAATATCCAAACCCATTGACCACCCCTCACAGAACTACATGTCGCCGGTACTGAAGCTGCGCAAGTCCCTCAAGGCAGTGCGTGACTATATCGAGCGCACCAACTACCCTGGCGTCCCCCTCTTTGTCTCCTACTCTCCGGCACACGACCGCACCCAGTGCAAAACGGCAGGCACTCCTCTAAACAACATCACCGCCGCAATCCAAGGGGGCGATACCCGTGCCATGGCGGTTCTAAAGGAGCAGCGGAAGCTGCTTGCAAGGTCACGGATGCGGCTGGTGGAGATAACGTACATGAGCATGCTGCGACCGGACGGGCATTTGAATCGAGCAGTGAGCGGCAGGAGGAAGGACTGCAGCCACTGGTGCCTGCCCGGCGTGCCTGATGCCTGGTCTGATGCCATCTACTCCATGCTCGTGCCATAGTGCTCTGCTCTGCTGCATCGGTTGCATTGCATGCTTGTGGTGCCTGTGCTGCTACATCTGTTGCGTACTCTGTAATTCATTTGTTACCACTTTCGTTCAAGCTCGGAGGATTGTCCGACAACACGGGTGACTGCCAACCAAGCCAGTGCAGTGTTACACGCACATTCAACACCATTACCAGCACCTCTGCTGCTACAGCCCGTGCCAGCTTTCATCTCATCAACGGTAGCTCTGGCAATAACACATCCACCCATGCATGACTCCCTGCAGTCACTCCAGCTGCCCCAGAAGGTGCGAGATGACAAGGTTACTCCATGTGTCAGGCACACCAGGTAGGCACCAATGGCTGCAGTCGAGCTTCTCATGCTGTGGAACGGGTGTGAGGGAAGGAGGGGATTCGTGCGCCTTGGGTTTTGAGCAAAGCCTTACAAGGGTTGCTGTGATCTGCTAAGGGAAGGAGAGGGGCTGCTCATGAGTTGAGAACTGACAAGGTACGGTAATGCAGCAGGAGGCATGAAATGGTTTTTCTACATGCAAAAGTATCGGTTCAAGGCACACACACATACTCGCACACTCACCCCGGTGTTCCCCCGTATATGTGCATCCGGCCGGAACCGACTCATTTGAGTCACATCCACCAGCCGCAGCCTCGACCCCCGCAGCACCCTCCTCTGCGCCCTAAGAGCGGGAATGGTGCTCTTTGCGGTCACATTCGCTAGAGCAGCAGCAGGCGTGGAGGCAGCGAGGGGGGCTGTAGCAGCAGCACAGGACTTGTTAGTGTGGACAGGGGAGAAGGAGAGAGCCAGGGCGAGGCCGGTATAGTTGGACGAGAGCAAGTGGTCGCGAGTGAGGGCAAATGCGGACCACATGCGATCCAACGGTGGAGGTCGCTTCTCATGGAAGAACCAATGGCCGGCTGTGAAGATGGCAGCTCGGGTGCGCGGAAGCACTGTCGTCCACCGAGGGTTGGGGTAGGTCTGGTTGCTGTGGGACTGGCAGGGGCCATGGGACCTGGGGATTTCAATAGAATGCGTCCTTGCTCCTGCCATGTGATGGTGAGACACGTGCAAGGCAGAATGAAACACCACCTCTCAGGGCCTGCCTTTCGAGTGATCTCAGCGGGAATACCGGTAGCAACAGGGGCGTCTAGTACGTACCGGCTGTGCGCCTATGGCAGGACACACGAGCAACGTGAGTCACACGAACGAACATGAGTGACAGGAGCAACAAGAGCCTTACCAAGTCAGGGTTGTTGACGAGGTATCCGCTTCCGATGCTCACGAGCGTCACGCTGTACCGCGTGAATCGCAGGCACGCATGCTGCAAGCGCCCTATCCTCATCTTGATCGCCTGCTCTCACCACAGGGACGCCAGGAATGCATTTGTGAGGCACCTTAGGAACTGGCCTGCTGGGCTGTGGCTCAGGAAGCACGTTCTGATCAGGCTGGTTGGGCGTACGTCTGACCTCGTCCCCCCCACTGACCTCCTGCGCCCCACTGACCTTGGATGGCGACTGACCTTGTATGGCGAGGCTTGCGCGAGAATGCAATTCATGGATTTCACCACCGTCTCGCTAAAAGAGTCCCCGATAAAAGCTATCATGGAGTCCCTGTACATTGATAGTAGCTTTTCCGGCTGTGATCTGTCGGCCGCCTTGCGAAAAGAAGGGGATAGAAGAAGCGAAAGCTGGGTTAATTTTTCGAGTCAGATTGAGCGATACAAGTGGTAAGGCAAAAACTGTACGACGACTACAAATGCTGCCACTGTCAGGCGCAAAAACGTTTACAAAACTACTTCTTGTCGTTGCAACGATCACCTTCTTCTAAGCACAACCCGCGGGGGTCCTGGTCCAAGCACACTTACCTCCACAGCTGCTGGGAGCAGGGCGGGTCGGGCAGCCACGTGTAAGCGGCAGGTCGCTTCTGGCCCGGCAGAAGCTGGGGACATTTGAGTTGGTTGGGGCACGAGTCGTGATATGGAGGCTGGTAACCAGGTATCGTACTCGTGGGCACCCACCTGGAATGGCGAGAAGGAAAGAGAAAAGAGCGACGGGGAGAGAGGATTCGGAAAGGTACGGCTCAAACTAGCAGCTAGTCACGGATACGTCTCGACCCTTCGCTGCTTGGACGCAGTACCTCCCTTTCGTATAGTCACATTTTGACGAGTTGCTTGCAGTGACAGTGGCAGTCGGGGGATGATGTGCGCCGTTCGATAGAGTCACAAGCACATTGAGGACGCACGCGACGAGGAGAATAAGGTAAGACAACTTAGAGTACATGTCTATCACCGATCCGGATTGCTATGAGTGATTGAGTCGATACGCGACTGGAGTCATCAGGTAACAGAGACAATAACTCAAGCAGAAGTGTTACGCCTTAAAAAGATCGAGTTGAGTTTTCATCCTAACGTCGAATAATTATCTCCGGGGCTCAGTGATGTTATAAATGGCGGAAACATACACCCAAATTCCACTTCGAACGACATTGAAGCGACGAATGCAGACAGTGGATAACTTGGTAGGTGGGCAGGAGGATATGCAGCAAATGTGGAGAACTTGGCTTGGCTGGATGGGATGGCAGCGGCGACGTGAGTTTGGTGAAATCGAGCCTGGGTTTGTTCGGGTGAACGAAGCGGATGGGGGCAAATTCGCGGATTGACTGGGGGAGCAGCTTTCATGTCAGCGCGACGCGAATCAGCGCAGACAAAAAACCCTGCAAATTTGCAGCCATTATTATTAACTTGCTACACCGCATGAAAAGGTAGCTGCGTACACGAAATCGATTGCCATAAGTTCTTTCTAATGGCTGCGTCCATTCATGAATGGGTCATAGCAATGTCAACACTTCAACATTTGTATTGCGGTATGTTACACTCTCCATCAAGGCTTGGGAAATATTCTTTCAACAAGGAGAGCCTAGCTGTTCATACGGTATTATGCGTATCCATGGCAAGGGCGTGAACAGAAGACGGTCCTTTCTCCATATACTCCTCCCTGCTTATCGCCCATGCGGATAAGAAAGAGCTCGTCTGCACTCCCAAAGGCACATGAAAGGAAAAGGAGAGAAAGCAAACATTTATATCGGGCACACATATGGTCGTAACGAAGTGATACAATAACCGCCAGCAGCACTCACAGTGGCTATGGTCCTGCCGCCCATCATGCGCCATACGACCCCACTGCCTTCACAGAGAGTCGGCCGGTGAAGGGCTGTGGGAGCAGCTGCTGCAGCTCCAGATGCAGCCGCTCTGTCAAGCAGACCAACGGAAAGGGGGGGAGCAGACCAACGGAAAGGGGGGGAGCGACCAACGGAAGGGGGGAGCGAAGAATAAGGAGCCGATGAGCAGAAGCGGACGGAAACAGGGATGTTAAGCTGGCTAAAAAAGAGGGATAAGAAGGAATTTGTGAAAATATATACAGCCCTAAAAACCAACTTGGGGGATCTATCAAGGAGCACCTCACACAGCCCCCACCTGCTATCCCTGGCAGCGCAGACGTGCCCCCCGCCACCACCACGGTGCTGATCGCCTCCGCCACATCCTCACTTGCCAGCGGCGCAGGCACTCGCCCTCACACCCCCCCACCCGCCCCTGCTGCCCCTTCCCCACTTCCCTTTTCCCTCGTGGCACCCTCACCCCCACGCCCCTCCCCAGGCGCTCCTCCCCCCTCCTCCGCCATCTCCCCCACCTCTGCAGCCGCTGCGCCTCCCGCGTGGCTGTGCCTGGCCTTCAAAAACGCCTTCACCCATTTTACACACTCCAATATGCACCGCGCCACTGTCAGCTGTATGCCCCTGCAGCCACTGGTGAGGAAAAGGGGACTGAGCGGTGCATTCTAAAAGCTGCGAGATAGAGTCTAGAACATATGTTTTAGTACCGATTGGAGTAGCTTCATGTCAGCGCGACGCGAATCAGCACAGTCGGCCATCTCTACAAATCTGCCTTGATAGTCATAAACTTGCTACACCTCGACAACTGGTGGCTACATGCAAAAAACCGTTCCCACTAAATTATTTTGAAGACAACCAGCACACATCTAGTGGCTACAGCCTTTCATGAAAACGTTGTGGCAATATCACACTTCATCATATGTTACACTCTCCATCAAGGCTTGGGGAATATTCTTACAACAGGAAGAGCCTGGCTGTTCATGTTGTGCGTATCCATGGCAAGGGCATGAACAGAAGACGGTCCTTTCTCCATATACTCCTCCCTGCTTAGCGCCCATGCTGATAAAAACGAGCTCGTCTGCATTCCAAAAAGCACGGGAAGAAGAAACATATATTAGAAGGATCATTTATATAAGTCACACATACGGTCGTAACGAAGTGATCAGTCACAGCCAATAACACTCACAGTGGCAACGGTCCTGCCGCCCATCCATGCACCATACGGCCCCACTGCCTTCACAGTGAGTCTGTCAGCGAGGGGCGGGGGAAGCAGGCGCTGCAGCTCCAGATGAAGCCGCTCTGTGCGGATGGGATGGGACCAACGGGGGTGAATCAACAAGAGCAGCAGAGGCACAGAAGAGGAAAGCAGCGGAAAATCAGGTTAGCGGAACAGATACAGGAAGGCTTTTCACAGAGAAACATCATCGTATAAACTCTCGTCATTCCCACTCGGAGGCTGTACGAAGGAACAAAGGGCCCCACCTGCTATCCCTGGCAGCGCAGACGTGCCCCCCGCCACCACCACGGTGCCGATCGCCTCCGCCACATCCTCACTTGACAGTGGCGCAGGCACTCGCCCCCACACCCCCCCACCCGCCCCTGCCTCCCCCTCCCCACTTCCCACCCGCCTCGTGGTACCTTCACCCCCTGGCCCCGCCCCAGGCACTCGCTCACCCTCCTCCCCCCCTTTCTCCTTCTCCTCATCTGCAGCCGGTGCCTCTCCCGCGTGGCTGTGTCGGGCCTTCCAGTCCTGCTGCGCCTGAAACGCCTTCACCCGGGCAGCACACTCCACTATGCACTGCGCCACTGCCTGCTGTATGCCCCTGCCGCCGCTGATGGGGGAAGGGAGGAGGAGGAGGAGGGGGTGAGGGCGTGGGGTGAGAGGGAGAAAAGCACGTGTGAGTGGGGGGGGGAGACGAAACGAGTGAGGGGAGATCAACGGGGAAGACTACGAGCGACAATGCGGTTGTCACACGCACGCAGCAGTAAGGAGAGAAGAACAACCATGTGAGCACAAGATAAAACAGCTGATAGAGCACATTGACCCCATTGACCACATTGACCACATTGAGGAAAGTAAACGCACAGGCCACAGAGGTGAGGTTGAAAGAGCACTTCAGGGGCGAGGAAGCGCTCCCTGGCGAGAGTGAAGGCGCCCTCCCCCGGCACCTCACACGTGCCCCGCACCCCCCTCTCCTCGCCCCTCCTCGCTGCCTCAAAGTCCCGCGCCACAAAGCACAGCGACTGTGGGAGGAGGGAGGGGGGGGTGGGGGTGGTTGGGGTGAAAAGCAGGAAGGAGTGGGATGCCGAATGAAGATGTGCAGAAAGTTACAGCAAGAGCCTGGAAGTCGCGCCCCACAAAGCACAGCGACTGCGGGAGGGGAGGGAGGGGGTTGGGGTGACAAGCATGATGCAGTGGGGTGCTGAAAGTTATTGCGAGAGCCTGTGAGCCATGAGAAACTGAGGGCAGGGATGCGAGGAATAATAAGAAGAGGAGCCTGTAACACACCTAGGCAGGCGCCTTCAGTAACACACCTAGGCAGGCGCCTTCAGTAACACACCTAGGCAGGCGCCTTCAGTAACACACCTAGGCAGGCGCCTTCAGTAACACACCTAGGCAGGCGCCTTCAGTAACACACCTAGGCAGGCGCCTTCAGTAACACACCTAGGCAGGCGCCTTCAGTAACACACCTAGGCAGGCGCCTTCAGTAACACACCTAGGCAGGCGCCTTCAGTAACACACCTAGGCAGGCGCCTTCAGTAACACACCTAGGCAGGCGCCTTCAGTAACACACCTAGGCAGGCGCCTTCAGTAACACACCTAGGCAGGCGCCTTCAGTAACACACCTAGGCAGGCGCCTTCAGTAACACACCTAGGCAGGCGCCTTCAGTAACACACCTAGGCAGGCGCCTTCAGTAACACACCTAGGCAGGCGCCTTCAGTAACATACCTAGGCAGGCGCCTTCAGTAACGCAACTAAGCCAATAAATGATACGATAGAACTGACCTCTTTGACGGTGCGCACGGTGAACATGGACTGGCACACGATCCCAGGTGAACATGGACTGGCACACGATCCCAGGTGAACATGGACTGGCACACGATCCCAGGTGAACATGGACTGGCACACGATCCCAGGTGAACATGGACTGGCACACGATCCCAGGTGAACATGGACTGGCACACGATCCCAGGTGAACATGGACTGGCACACGATCCCAGGTGAACATGGACTGGCACACGATCCCAGGTGAACATGGACTGGCACACGATCCCAGGTGAACATGGACTGGCACACGATCCCAGGTGAACATGGACTGGCACACGATCCCAGAATCGTGCAGTAACTGGCTGAGGTGCCCCGTGACTCGCATGGCGCCCAGCGGCAGGCAGTACAAGGGCAGCAGGCTGCATGCGGTGCGGCCTCGCATGATGGGAAGTATTGTGGTGCTGCGGAAGCCAATGTTCACCACCACGCCTGATGCTGCCCCCGCTGCCAACAGGGCCAGGGTGGCCTGGGTGGGTGGCAACGGCAGGGAAAGGGAGGAGAGAGGGGCATGGATGACAGATGAGACGGTGAAGGGAGAAGGGATGGGCGAGGGGGAGTGGGGATGGCGACAGAGTGGACGTATAAAGAAGTAACTAGTTAAAGTAGACATATTTGGTATCAGAGTGTGGGGTTACCTGGTGGAATGGGGTTACCTGGTGGAATGGGGTTACCTGGTGGAATGGGGTTACCTGGTTGCATGGGGTTACCTGGTCGCATGGGGTTACCTGGTTGCATGGGGTTACCTGGTCGCATGGGGTTACCTGGTCGCATGGGGTTACCTGGTCGCATGGGGTTACCTGGTTGCATGGGGTTACCTGGTTGCATGGGGTTACCTGGTCGCATGGGGTTACCTGGTCGCATGGGGTTACCTGGTCGCATGGGGTTACCTGGTCGCATGGGGTTACCTGGTTGCATGGGGTTACCTGGTCGCATGGGGTTACCTGGTCGCATGGGGTTACCTGGTCGCATGGGGTTACCTGGTCGCATGGGGTTACCTGGTCGACAAGGCAGATGGAGGGCACGCGCAGGGCACTGAAGAGCACGGCACATGTCACCTCCCTCAGATGCCGCCTCCCCTCCTGCGCCTCGCGCGTTTCTGTGTGTGCAGAGGAGAGATGGGCATGGGGAGGATGGGAGGGCGGGCAGGGTGAGGGCAGGATGTCACGTTGAGAATGCAGGCAGGCATGATGAATTGCAGATTAGCAACACTGCTGCCCTGTAGGTGGACGCATGCCAGCAGAGAAGCACTTGGAAGGAAACAACACGTAACGGCTGGCACGTGGCACGAGAGAGTCACCTGGCAGGTGGCACGACAGAGTCACCTGGCAGGTGGCACGAGAGAGTCACCTGGCAGGTGGCACGACAGAGTCACCTGGCAGGTGGCACGAGAGAGTCACCTGGCAGGTGGCACGACAGAGTCACCTGGCAGGTGGCACGAGAGAGTCACCTGGCAGGTGGCACGACAGAGTCACCTGGCAGGTGGCACGAGAGAGTCACCTGGCAGGTGGCACGACAGAGTCACCTGGCAGGTGGCACGAGAGAGTCACCTGGCAGGTGGCACGACAGAGTCACCTGGCAGGTGGCACGAGAGAGTCACCTGGCAGGAAAGCGAGAGGCTCGGAGACGACAACAGGGTGGTTGGCGGGAATGGCTCGCATGCTGTGAGGGCGGATGGAGATAGATGGGGAAGAAGCATGGGCGACAGAGAGGGAAATGGAGGGAAGCAAGAATGCAGAAGAACAAAGAACGGGACGGGTGAAGGGAAGAAGACGGCGAGGGAAGACAGGGAAATGGAGGGAAGGGCATAGGAGGGATTGATATTAAGGGAATAAAATGGAAGGAAAAAGGGATAACATTGGGAATGTTACAAGGAGTACTGAAGGTAAGGCACAAGGCACAGCATGTGCCTGCATCCTTTGCATGCATGTCTGCACCACTTGAAAGGTATGCTGAAGTCATTAAGTACCTGGCATAGATGGAGGAGAAGAGGGCTCGAAGGCGGGCGAGGGAAGGTGCCTCGATGTTTCCAAACTCCTGGTTTGGGTGGCAGCAACCACAGCGTGCCGCTCTCCCAGCAACCACAGCGTGGTGGTTGGGAGAGCGACAAATGTGAGAAAACGTACTTAATGGCAGGAAATAAAAGAAGAGCGAATGGTACGAAGCAGAATGGAAGGGAGCTCCCATGTGGCAAACCAGATGTGCTTCAGACAAATATCAAAACGGACTGACCAGAAAGGTGGCGATGCGTCCTGATGGCGCTGCGTCGTTGCTCATGCCAAACTTGCAGTACCCCGACCCGCCTGCACTCTCACACACACTCAATTAGAGGTTGTATAGGGGCGTGGAGAGGCGTGGAAAGAGGCGTGGCGCGGCGTGGAGAGGTGTCCAGAGGCGTGGATAAGAGTAAAGAGGCGGGGAGAGGCTGGGAATGTGGGTGGAATGAGAGCACGGGGAATGCGGCGTGGAATGAGAGCACGGGGAATGCGGCGTGGAATGAGAGCACGGGGAATGCGGCGTGGAATGAGAGCACGGGGAATGCAGCGTGGGCAGCGCACCATCGACAACGACAGCGGGCGGCAGCTGGGCGCGCAGGCGGTAGATGGCACACCACGGCAGGCACGCGATCCTGCTGCCGCCGCACTGCCCCAGCAGCATCTGCTGCTGCTCGCGGCACCTCGTCATTCCCGAGGGTCTGGCCTCCAGTTCACTGCCATATGGTCTGCCACGTGCACGGGGGTGCCCAGTGGGGTTGGTGCTTCTGGCAGCTGTCATTTCACTCCGCTCCTGTTTCGCCACACCCACTTCGCCGTGCACAACAGATAGTAGGACAACTCAAATTCGACGTTTTTCTGGAATTCTCAATGTCACCTCACCTGCTCCCTCACCCGAGCCTCACCTGCTCCCTCGCCCGAGCCTCACCTGCTCCCTCGCCCGAGCCTCAGCTGAGTTTCAGCGAAGACCACCATCGGCCATCCCTCGGGATCTTCGGATCGCAGCAGGTCCTCCCACAGCGAATCAGAGCTCGCCAAGTGGCGCCATTTCCGGCTAACAGCGGCGGAGGCCGCGAGGGTTTCGCGGGAAAAGAAGGAGAAGACTATAAGGAGTACGTCGGAGGGAAGTTCGTCCAACGATCGAGAATCGGAAATGCTGAATGGGCTGCCGCTGCAGCCGAAACTGCTTCTAGTGGTGCCGGTATAGGGCATATTTAGTATGGCGCCGCTGTTTTGGTATATCTCGGCTGATATGTTGCTCATGCGGTCATTGCGTCCGCCGTCGACACTATTGCGAGTATTCGTTGCGTCAACTTCGGGACTCTTACCAGGAGCGGCCATTGCTGCTACTCTGATGTGAAGCCTGTTGTGTGGTTGAGCTTCAGCGCCGAATTGCGGACATCTCGTTAGGGCGCGTGTCTTTTGCAAATTTGGAAAGTTCAGGCTTTTTTTCTCGAATTTTTACATTTGAACTTTGGTCGACCTGAGGTCGACAATCTCTACTTCGGGTGATCGAGGAGCACCGTCAACAAGTCCGAGTCGCGTATGGAACAACACAGTTCGACCATCATAGTTCAACTGTAAACAGTAAATCCCGAGTCGCGCTAAACTTTCATAGGTTGCCTGGTTAGGCGGTGCAGTTCGTGACCGAATCCGGCTTCGTGAATGGTCGCTAGCCTCGTGAATTTTCGTGCGTACACACGTTTGGATAGTGAACGTAAAAATCCGAACGCAGGTCGACTTTAGTTCAGTGTCCAACTTCTTTCACACAGTCTGAACAAGGACACACAATTGCCTCGCGAATGTACTGGCGATATAAACGAAGCGAGTTACCGGAAAAAGTTCGACCCTATTTTCGAACAGCTACACCAAAAGACACCTGTGCAGTGCAGTGCATTCCAAACGCTACGCGAAAAAATGTTGGAGCAATGTAGAGAGACCTGGACCAGAAGAACATATATTTCTATCACACATTCACAAAGTTCGACAGCCTCACTTCCACTGCTATAACATGAAGAATTCCTAGCTACAAAGGTGTCCCGCATCACTTCAAAGAGTCTTCCGGGAAAGTCAATAGCCGGGATAAGGAAGTGCCATCTGGGCCATGCAAATGAGGATTCTGTTGTATGAAATCCGAACTTTGCTGGTTGTGGTTGCTCCACCAAATAAGCCAAGCCCCCTCCCTCTGTTTCGCATACAGGCACTCCAAAACACTTGCGCGAAAAACGCACAGTTTGCTTATTGGCGGGAGTGGTGTGCACAGTGGCTAACATTTTGTCGCTACTACAATAACCGCCCCAGCCTCGGCTTGAGCTTCGACAAAAATTGATGATGCATCCAGGCCTCAGGATAGCAGGGCGTTTTTCCCTGTTTTACCCACCCTGCTAGAATTGGGTTTGGCTGGGCGTCCACCCTGTCATCGTCAGGCAGTTTACGCTTATGTGCAACACTGCCGTGTCCCGAATCGTTACAGCAGACACGCTGCCTACTTTTTCCCTTTCGCAGAACTTCACTAACTGCGCGGCTTTTCTTCTAAGCCAAAATGTGTCCAGTAGCTTTGTGAGTAAAATTTCCGTAACTGAAACACCACAGATTCAGCTCTAGCACAGTGAGTGGCGTTTGTGACTGAAATGTGTCCAGTAGCGTTTGAGACTGGAAGTCCTTGAAACACAAGAGATTCAGCTTTAGCACAGAGGGTGGCGTATTATAGCTAGTGACCGCACCTAGAAGACCCACCCGCAGGCCTCTCATCTCCCCACCTTAACCCACTAAAGCATCAACTACCACGCACTTGCGCAAAGAGACGACCACCCTCTTTGTCGTTTGAGGGACACACTTAAAAGTCGGGCCAGAAAGACCCAGTTCGACCGGTTTTTCTGGCCCTGGGAACAATCTATAATGGCAGGGTCGATTGCGGGACCCACCCTGCTAGTCCTCGAACAGAAAACACACTGCCATTTCTTGGGTACGACTGCCAAGGCACACTGCAGAGGCATGGTGTAGTAGGTCAGAACTCGGATCAGGCAGCGTGCCCCAAAATGAATCGAGAGCCCTGGATGCATCCACCGCTCAACTCTGACAAGACAAATCAACCTTTACAACCTGTCTCCACAGCGGCCAGCTGGCTCGTCTAGCGTAGTTTGGAGGTTCGGGATTTGGCTTGTCAAGGGTGGCTGATTGGGGAACTGTAGTAGAACTGTGGCAGTGCTTGGGACCACGCTCCGGATCAAGCCGACCTGGCGATTACTGTAGTTTGTGCGACGAGCGTCATAGGCCCGTTGCCGTCGCAAGGATCGCATGGGTCGTGCCGTGTCCTCTGCTACTGCTGCTCGATTTCGGCTGGCCTGGTCTGGCTGGTTTATTCATGCACCCAAATGGCGCACCAATTCCTTTGCGTCGCGTTGTGCCTAGAACCGAAATCAATTGTTCTGGAAACCTGCAAAACTCGCACACCAATTCCTTTGCGTCGCGTTGTGCCTAGAACCGAAATTATTTGTTCTGAAAACCTGCAAAACTTGCAATGCCGTACCGTACACTGTACGCCCAATAAAGGCCGGGTTTCAATACCCATGTTGTTGGTTCGGTTGGGGGTTCGAAATCTCCCTGGTTCGGATGTGGCGGAGGCGCTCGTCAGTCAAACACCCTAGCCTGGGATGAGAAAACAAGGGTTTTTAGTTTTCCCGGAAGGATTACTGTTCCGCTGGCTTTCTTTCTTTCGAAGGACTTTCATCTCAACTTGCGCACACTTTCCGCTGTTCCGCTTCTGAGACGTAAGAGGTATTGTGCTAACACAGATTTCGGCTTCTCCGCACATCACGCAAGCACTGTTTTCGTCGGCTGTCTTCTGCCAGCAAGCACAAAACTAAACCCCTCTCGGATGGCAAGTTTTCAAGGGCATCAACCCTAAACACCATACGACAATGCGTTTAGGGTTGATGTCCGCCAGTGATTTTAACTTTGGGGCATCAACCCGAAACACTTAGTCGCAAGGTGTTTAGGGTTGATGCCCTTCTTCACATTGCCAGCCAAGAGTGATTTAGTTTTGGCATCAACCTTAAACACTTAGCCGCAAGGTGTTTAGGGTTGATTCCCTTCATTAACATGCCAGCCGAGAGGGATTTAGTTTAGCGCGGATAAAAAGGCAAAATAGTGTTGTGCACCGTTTGCCTGAGTAGCAACAGAAATGGCTTCCGAGATGATGACACGTGGTGAACGTGGAGACGAGTTCTGTGTCAGCAGGTAAAGGTTTTAGGGGAAACCCCCTTTGGTATTACCCCGACTGTCGATCGTAATCCGCCTACCCACTTGTTTACACGCCTCGCTGGGTATCGAGGTAGGACTATCCACTCCCAGATGAGCAGTGCGAAACCCCCTTCTGGGGGGCTGGCAGAACACGCCGGCACTGGGGTTTGAGCCCGGAACTTCATCCTTCGGAAGTGCCCATTCTACTGACTGGGCCACTTCAGGATACGAGTTCTGTGTCAGCGCAATAAGTTTTCTGTCTGGGCCGCCAAACCTTAGAAACTGTGTGCAGGTAGAGACAAAGGTAAATAGAAAGCGCAGTTTCGGAAAAAGCTCTTCCGCCGTAACTAAAAACCCAGAAAACAAAGATGGACAACGGTTGGCAACAGGGACGTGTGGCGGAGGGAGGTTTTCTTCACTCAACCAAACTACACCCTCTTTCTCGCTACCCTGGCAATGGGATTCACTGTCTACAGTTCGTACTGTTGCTTAAAACGAAGCGGTCTGGTGCTTACAACCGAACTGCAGGTTGGTGACGGGAAATGCTCGCATGGTGAACGGTACACAACGGTTTCCAAAAGGAAACTTGCTTAGGCGTACGGTTGAGTGCGGGAATATGTGCTTATATGGTACGTTCTGGGACCATCCTGGACGCATTGATGTGTGTACATCCGAGTAACCAGTATATCCAATGACAGTGTAGCGCGAAACAGGGTGTACTAGGTTCATTCACAGACGCCATTGATCTGAGCTGAGCCAGCGGCGAAGCGAACCAGACTCGCCGCCACGCCACAGAACCCAACTTCAGATGGCCTGGTCGATGTCGCAACTGTCGGGGAATGCACACTCGAAGCCATTTCCTCGTCGACCATGGACGATCGCTGCCCCAGCAATCGCTCTGTGGTGCGCTCCCTCGGCCGTGTCTCTGAACTGCCCCCGCCGGTCTCTGTCTTAGCTACTATTGAAATCGCCACGTAAGAAGATCTAGTAACTGAAAGGTACCGCTCCGTTGCTCCCGTTACCTCTCCGAGAGGAGATTTTTCCCATTACCCAAGAGCACCCCTCGCCATGCCCACGGGCTTCACTGGCGCGCCAGAGGCGGTGGGGGAGGTTTGGAAAGCTGACTGGTACATCCCCCACTGCTACAAGATCCCCGCATTGGCGCAACTCAACCACCTATTGGCGCAAATCCCCCGCGCGCCCACGCGGAGCGATGTCTGGCACGCGGGGGCCGGCCCCGCGGACCTCCGGCGTTTCCACAACGACCTGGGGGAGGTCGTATCTGAGGCAGAGCTCGCCCAGAAGCAGCTGGGAATCTTCCTCCAGGCCGTGCAGACGACTGCGGCGGGGCTTCAGAAGGAGATCGGGAAGCGCCTCTCGGCGGAGAATCCGTCCGTTTTCCGAAAATGGATTCAGAAGCTTCCTGGATTCGACGACCCGTTGCTTGCGGGAGGGGTAGGCGGGGGCGTGGGGCACGACGGTTCGCACAGCAGGAGCAACAGTAACAGTAGCGGGGGCGCCGGGAGCGGCGGGAACGGCAATGCGGCGTGCGGGAAGCTGACGGACGGCAGCAATGCGTCGTCGCCAGCGAATAAGGTCAGCAGCGACTCGCCACGCGACGACAGCGCGCCGACTCTGCAGCCGTCGAAAGTCGCCCTTGCGAATCGCATGCGATCGAAATCCATGAACGTAGTGTCGTCGGGGTCGCTCTTTCGATCGCCGGACGACAGCAGCGTCGCCAAGCCTCTAGGCCCGGAAGTTTCACCCATCTTCGCCTCGACAGGTCTGACCACACCTGGTAGTAATGGCTCTGGCGCAGGCTCGGGTACGGGCGGCTCGGCGACGCGGAAAATGTTCACCCGCGCGTTTTCCGTGCGCGAGCGGCCGTCTGCCGTGTCGGGGGGGGACGGCGGCGGGAACAGCGTCGGAAGCGGCGGCGGAGGCGGAGGGGGTTTCGTAGACGCGTGTGGGTTCAGTCCCGTGTTACTGCGCGCAAGGAATGCGGGGAGAGTCGGGCCTGTGGGGGAACACGAGGGGGAGGGGGCGGGTGACACACCCGCCATGGGGCTCGGCGGGGGGAACGGGGGGAATGGGGGGAACGGCGGAGTGAATGGAGGGGGGAACGGGGGAAACGGAGGGCGTGACGGAGGCAATGGCGGGGGAAAGGTGGGCGGAGTGGCAGCGTGGGCAACACCGAGTGGAATTGGAAACGAGAATGCCGCGTTCCCTGTAATCACCGAAGCTCAGCAGCAGCAGGTGCCGCAGGGGCCGCTTGCAGCATCCTCGCCGCTACATCCGCCGCGCCAGCCAGCCTCAGAACGCCACTCGGGACCGCTGTTACACGGCACGGGCCAAATCCCAGATTCGCACGCTGATGCAGCGCGGAAAGGACCTGTAGAAAAGCAGCCAAGTGCGAAACCGAGCGGTTCGTCTAGTAAGGTCGGAATCGGCGGGCTGCTATTCAGAAGCCGCAGCTCCAAAAGTGGCAGCCACCGCTGGACGCAGTCGCAGCAGCAGCAGCTGCAGCAGCGGGTAGCAGAAGAGGAGGAGGAGGGCGGGGAGCAGGAAGAGCAGGAGAGAGGGCGCTTGAGCCCATCCAGTGGCCGTAGGATCGAGGGTGGCGCGTCAGGGAAGGGAACAGCAGCGTCCAGGAGGGTGGGGGGGCCAAGGCTCACCAAGAGCCGGTCAGAGAAGGCGCCTAGCAGCGCTATGGGAGGGGCGAGGGGAGGGGCGCGCGGAGGAAAGAGCGGCCACGAACGGCTGCAGGAGATTCTCAGCAGCGTGGGCAGCGGGTGGGGCGGACTGCCTTTAACCTCGTCGTTGAGTGGTGGCAGTGTTAGCTCGAGTGGCAGCGGCTTGCGGGGGGGTAGTCTGGTGTCTCGGAGCGCTACTGTAAGTGGGGCGGGACCGGCGTTGGGAGGCATGATGGGGCCGGCTGGCAGGGCTTCTGTGATTGGCAGTGCGGGTGGCAGCATGAGTGGCAGCATGAGTGTGAGCGTGATTGGTAGTGCAGGAGTCAGTCCACGGGGCCCGGCCAACGAAAGCTTTGCCTTCTCCCACCTGCCCCAAGCCCACAGACTCTCTCTTGCTTCCCAATCCCAAGACTCCTCTTCCAGTGATTATGCCATGTCTCCGTATGGGGGAAGTGACAGAGGGGGGGTGCAGGCAGAGAGGGGAAGGGAGCAGGAAGGAGGAAGTGGGGTGCTGCAGGGCAGCAGGGTGCTGCTGTCGCCAGCCAAGGCAGCGCAGGAGGAGAAACTGCTGGAGATGCTGCGATCCACACCGCCTGTTCGGTGGGACAAGCCGGGTCAGGCTGGAAACTACACCAATCAGACCCAGAGTTAGCAGCATCTGATGACTGTGGCTTGGAGAAGCAAGGATCCACATCTGTTCCAGCACCGAGATAATGTGGAGCAGGTGCAACAGCCATGGAAATTGATAGGGTCCTTGAGCAATAACTATAATGGCTTGTGACGTTGACATTCAACATGCACGTTGATTCTGTGTCTGTATGATATGTTTCCCTACTTAGGTTTTACCAAAGAATGAGATTTTGTACTGAAATTGCAACGTGTGCATTTGGAGTTTGGTTAAAATTTGAATCAACAATCAATTCTAAACGTAGTGGTGTGAGGATTGAGTTCTACAACGTAATCAGTGATGCTGTGATGTGGAGGGAAGCAGTCCAGTAAGGTACGGTATCTTGAATTTGAAGAGGAATACGTATGACAGGTTCTAGTGACCTTGATTAGCTATCAATTGAATCGATCCTAAGACTGTAGAAGCTTTATTCATGAGTTTGCTTCTAGAAGTTCTGTCTGGACCTATTTCCGCGATGCCCAAAAATCCCTCCGAAGCCAGCCCCACCCGACCTCTTTACACCTGCACACCGCACCACATCCCCATAATTTCCAGTGCCTGCCTCACGTTGGCCCTGCCGCTACGCGATTTTCCCCGTTTCGCTGCCTACTTGTGTTCTATCTTCCATCACTCCAGACCCTTTTCCCTAATTTCTCTTGGCTAGGGACGTCCTGCCAGGATGAGTCACAGGAAGTTCGAGCATCCGCGCCATGGTTCTCTCGGCTTCTTGCCCCGGAAGCGGTGCAAGCGCTCACGCGGGAAAGGTAGTCTCCTGACCGATAATCCGTAGGAAGCTCATTTCCGTTCACAGTTCCGACATTAAAGCCTACCGTTCATTTTGTCCCTCGGATAGTATAGACCAGGTCTCACGCACCGGTGCAGAGTCACCGTTGGGTCGCTGATTTCGTTTACTGAAGCTGTCGTGTGCTCCGTATGTGCGTGGCGTTGTCCGTGTTGCGTGTTGGCAGTGAAGGCGTTCCCCAAGGATGACCCCACCAAGGCTCCCCACCTGACGGCGTTCCTGGGCTACAAGGCGGGCATGACGCACATCGTCCGCGAGGTCGAGAAGCCCGGCTCCAGTACGTCGCCTCTCTTCGCTTCTAACATAGTTTTCGCAATGTTACTCACAGATTAGGGTTGAATCCGCACCTCCCCTCCACGATCTCAAAATCGTGTGTTCCCGCATACCCTCCTTAGCTGCTGCTTCATGTTCGACGTGCTCTCAGTTTATGCCTAACATATAATCGTCCGAACGTCCCCTCTCAACAGGGCTGCACAAGAAGGAGGCTGCTGAGGCCGTCACCATTGTCGAGACCCCCCCCATGATCGTCTGTGGTCTCGTCGCGTACGTGAAGACCGCGCACGGCCCGCGCACGCTCACGCACGTGTACGCCGGGCATCTGAGCGACAACGTCCGTCGCCGGTGGTACAAGAACTGGCACAAGTCGAAGAAAAAGGCGTTCACCAAGTACGCTAAGAAGTTCAGCACTGACGAGGGCAAGAAGGAGATCGAGGAGGAGCTGGAGCGCATGAAGAAGCACGCGTCGATCATCCGCGTTATGGCGCACACCGAGGTGCACAAGCTGAAGGGAATCAAGCAGAAGAAGTCGCATCTGATGGAGATCCAAATCAACGGCGGCACGATCGAGGAGAAGGTCGACTGGGGTTACAAGCTGTTCGAGAAGGCCGTGCCGATCGATGCCGTGTTCCGCAAGGATGAGATGATTGATGTCATCGCCATCACCAAGGGTCACGGTAACGAGGGTGTGGTGCACCGTTGGGGTGTTACCCGCCTGCCTCGCAAGACCCATCGTGGTCTGCGCAAGGTCGCCTGTATCGGAGCGTGGCATCCGGCTCGTGTGCCGTACACCGTGGCGCGCGCCGGTCAGAACGGTTACCATCACCGCACGGAGCTCAACAAGAAGATCTACAAGATCGGAAAGAAGGGCGACGAGAGCCACAAGGCCAGCACGGAGTACGATCGCACCGACAAGGAGATCACCCCCATGGGAGGCTTCGCGCAGTACGGTGTGGTGGGCGAGGACTACATCATGATCAAGGGGTGCTGCCCCGGCGTGCGCAAGCGCGTGCTGACGCTGCGCCGGTCGCTGCTGAAGCAGACGTCGCGCAATGCGCTGGAGGAGGTGAAGCTCAAGTTCATCGACACGTCCTCCAAGTTCGGCCACGGTCGCTTCCAGACGTCCGACGAGAAGGCCAAGTTCTTCGGCCGCACCAAGGCGTAAAGCGGCTCTTGCGGGCATGGGGCTTGTGTGGAGGTATGCACTGTGCCTTGCTTGTGTGCAATTTGCGTTCTTGGTTGACTTTCTTGCTGGTCGTTCTGTGCCTTTTTGTTGAACCCTTTTATTTCATTGATAGTCCTGGAAGCATCAAATCATGTTATTTTTGCTGCTCTCAAGTGACCTGTTCTCATTTTGGGAGGGGCTTGTGGCTCCTCCGAGCGTCCTGCCTTGTGTTTGTGTCGTCTCTGGTTGATTGTGTTTATGTTGGGAAGGCAGGGCCGCGAAGATGCTTGATGCGTCATGGCACGTGGCTTGGGCCGCTGGTACTGTGCCCAGCGGCTGAAGGAGAGCAAGCCCTACCATTGCCATGCCTTGGACTCGGTGGGATGGTTTGGGCTTGCTTCTCTGGGCGCCCTGCACCACTGCCATGCCCTCTGCCTTCCCTTAGCGTCTTCACGAGGCAATGTTGGCTAGAGGGTACTTGGTTTTGGATATTTGAGAACAGGAATGTCGGGTATTAATAATTCAACCAAGCTATTAATGTTCCTGTCCACATTGTAGCTTAGGCATGTACTAGATGTTTTAACAAATAGTCTCGTTTCACAACATTATCCTTATTTTAATTGTATTGTGGGGTCAGCAGTTTGCTGCCAGCCCGTAATGCGCAAAAATTATGCCGCCCATATGTCTTGATATCCATACGGCACAAGGTGTTGATACACCTCGTGTGGCATCTTCGCCAGTCGGCCCTTTTATGACCTCAATATTGTCACGCGGCTGCTTATTAGCAAAAGAAAGAGTGCGTTTATTATTGCCTTGTGGGACCATGTCGTCGATCACTTACTGGTCTCTTCCCACATCAGGATCATCGATACCTCACTAATTGCCACGTGCGGTCCGGTTACACAAGACTAAAGTGATGTCGGAGGCTTGGAATAAGCGCCTTGAGCTTTTGGCAGGGTAGGCAGGAAAACTCAATGCGAGCAAACGTGCCATCATCATGAATACATGTGAAGCTATGGAACCGAGTCATGTTCAAGCTTCCTTAGCACCGCGAAGGATTGTGATCGATGACGTACTCAGCCCGCGTGAGTGCAAGGTGGGTGGTATTACGCGTCTCGCACTCACACCCGCTCCTTCCCTTCTGCTGCGCGGTAACGAGATTTCAGCGGTATTCCATCTCGTTTTTCCATCATGCGAATCAAGCCACGCTTCTCTTACCCGCATACGCCCCCGGCCCTCACAATCCAAAATCTCGCGTTCCTTCGCGCCGCAGCAGCACGGTGGGGTACTCACCGCATGTAATCCTGATAGCACGCACCGTCTTCCGAACTCAGAAGCTCCTGGCTGTGCTTCCCCTTGGTCTTCCAAACCAGGAACTGGCGTTCATTCACGCCAGCGGCAGCACCGTGGGGTACCGACCGCATGTGCGCTCCACCACGCTCGCTCATCTCATTGCCACCAACTGCGGTCCCTTCATGCTCCCCATCCTCCCCATTCGAGGTACCCTTGTACCAGTCACTGGATAGTCAGCTGACTTGTATCGTCCTTCCGTGGTCGCCTCAGCGCTTCTTGCCTTGTTTAGATTCCAAATAACCTTCTCGTTCTTCTGTGTGGCGCAATGTTGGCCGAACATGACAGTGCTGTGTTACCGAGTGTAACCGGTATCTAGGCCACGTGTGGCTGCAGTCCGTTACAAGTATACTTAGCATCTATCTGACACGAATTGGTCCGTTGTGCGTGCATGCATGGCAGATCGCATTCGGGACAAGGTGGACGAGGCATTCGGCATGCAGCTGGGGCTGCTGGTGGAGTTCACGGGGATCATCAGCTGGCTGCCTGGCGCCACCATTGGCTGGCATGCTGACGACAACCGGCCCTACCTCAAGCAACGCGCATTCGCTGTAAAACACTCCCCTTTTGCTCGTCGCAACCACCCCTCGCGTCCTGTAGCATATAGGGTTTTGCTTTGACGTGTCTGCTACCGTGCCTGTTGGGCTGGGCTGTTTTCACACAGTCCCTGTGCTCCGTTTGGGCCTGCTCCGCTACTGCTCTACTGTGATGGTACTTGTGTGTGCCTCCTGTTTGTCCCTCAGTGCGCACAAGTTCGTTCTCATGCGTCGCAGGCAGTGTGTTATCTGAACGAGTATGGCAAGGACTTCGATGGAGGTCTTTTCAGGTTTCGACAGGGCCATCCTCACACTGTCGCTCCCAAGCCCGGGGTGAGTGCATTGCAAGTGGAATGCTTGTGGTGATATGGAAACCCACTGCCTGACATGTGCTACTCCATTTGCGGCCATACAATTCTCCATGATATGCGGCCCTGGACGCGTGCCAGGTCTGCTTCTTATGTCAGTCTGTATTTTCATCCTGTGTTTCGTCTCTCATATGGTCGCAGCGACTCGTGGCATACTCGGCTTCAGGGGAGAATGAGCATTGCGTTGATCCTGTAAGATGGGGATGCTCATGATTGAGGGGAGGGGGGAGGCACAAGGAGGGGAACAGGCATCTATGTCAAAGGCACATTAAAGATCAGCAATATACACATTGTACTCAGAATATTACACTATTGGCCCATGCTTCAGTTCCATGGTCTGTGAACATGTTTAATGCCTCTCTTGATTGTCTGGGAACAAAAATAGCTTCTTGACGTTTTCTTGCTTCTTGGCAGGTGATTCGAGGTCAACGCCTCACCCTCACTCTCTGGTTCACACTCGATCCGTCACACAGTGAAGACCTCTCCCTCCTCACCCTCCTCTCTCGCATCCCCCTCTCCCTCCACCTTCCCTTCCCTCGCATTACCCTCAACCCCCCTCCCACGGGGGATGTGGGACCTGGGAAGGGCCCTGAAGCTGGCAAGAAGGTCGAAGTGGAAGCTGTATCTGAGGACAGGGGCGTTAGGCAAGTGGTATGTGGGGCGAACCAGCAGCACTTGGCATCTGATGGGCTTGGACAAACAGGTTTGGGGGAGCTGAATGGGGGGGCGTCAGAGGGGAATGAGAAAGAGGGGAGCGGAGGGGATGGAGTGATGGAAAGGTCAAAGAGGAGGCGCGTTTGCAGATCATCATTCTCGCCCTGTGGCTGTGAGGCCGTGACATGTGTGCATGTTGACAGGGAAGCTGGCAATGAGGCAGTGCTGGTGCCCATACCGCTTGTGGCGTCTAATTCTCTGTATCTCGTGCAGAAGGAAGGGCAGGGGAAACTGGGAGAGGGGGAGGATGGTGAAGTGGAAGGAGGAGAGAAGCAGGGAGGGAGCGAGGGTGGCAGGGAGGGGCAGGGAGAGGGAGAGGTTGATATACGGATACAGGAGCTAGCCAGTATGGGATGGAAGGCTGTTCCATTTCTTCAAAGCAACTGCAATGCCACGATGCAGTCACCTCCTGGAAGTGATGGCGCAGGGTTAGTAAAGACAGAGTCTGAGTGGGTGGCGTTAGTCCCTAGTCCCAGTCCGAGAAGAGACGAGACAAGCCCCTGCCTTCAATGTCCGGTTTCAGAACTAGGAAAGGATGGAAAAAAAGCAGGAGAGGTGGAGAAGGATGTGGCAGGGGGGAAGGAGAGGCAGGGGCATGAGGCCGGAACTCGTCAAGAATGCATTGGTGGTGATTATCGTGAGGGGTGTGATAGCAGAGGGGGAGGAGGGCGAGGGGACTCCGTTGGGGAAAAAGCACGTGTCCTGGCGTCACCGGTTGTGTTCTACAATATTCTGCATGCTTTACAGGTATGCTGCTCTTGAGAGCGGGGATGTGTGTGTGTGGTGGGGATGGGGGGAGGGTGGGGAGGGCAGGATGTAAGGGGGAGATTGGGAGGGCAGGGGGGGAAAGGGGGGAAGGGAGAGAAAGGGGTGGTTGGGGACTGAGAAAGGATTTGATTGAATGAGGCGGAGTTCAGCAGTTCGGTAGAGCCTTATTGTCCTCCCGCTGTCCTTGTTGGCCGTGTGCAGGTGGCGGCCTTCCTCAAGTGGCAGATTAATTTGAAAGCGAAAGGAAAAAATTACAACTGTGGCAGATGCGAACAATGTCAAATGGATTCTCAATGTAGACTGAACAATCAGCAGATATTGTTGGTAGACGCTAAGGAGGCGTGGATAAGGTACACAAGGGGTCTCACCAACGATTTCCAAGAATCTATACCCAAGTGGCAGACCCATCAACTTCTGTATGACTGCCTGTAACCTTGATGCTCAGACCTTTTACACTGCAGTTCAACCAGCTTTGTAAAAGTAGCAATACAATCCTCCATGTGCAAACCTTCATCACGTCAGACTGACAAGCTCCATTGTAAACAACATTCGAACGGCTGCTATTTACGTACCCCACAAAGTACTAGTAGCTCGCGCATCCTCTCTTTGGGGCACCTGCCAGATGGACGAAGAGCATGGCCAATTTCTGCCTGTGAGATTCGTTCTTTCCGCTTACGCTTGTACAGCTTGCCCGCAGTGGGCCGTTACCTGGGCGTAATTTAGTTTCCCGATGATTGATTCCAGGATTGCTATTGGCAGGAAGTCGTCATGGGGTTCTTCAGACATGTGTACGCAGCGGACGCGCGCTCGCAGGTTTGTTCCTGGCCTTTTCGTTCTCGAGTAGAGGATTCCGCCTCTCAGTTTTGCACAGAATGTGACGTCAAGGTACACCGCCGTATGGCAGGCTCAGCCTCCAGGTTCAACGTCAGGGCAAGAGGGCGAGGATAGGACCAGCCTTGATCGTATAGCTGCTCCGTTTGAGTCCCCTCAAGGACTCGTCAGAAGCTCAGGAGACGCAGCGTCATTGGAGGATGATATCGCTCTTGCAAATCCGCTTGTTGGGTCGGCTGAAGCAAGTGACGAGCGGAGGGAGGTCGCAGAGAATGGTGGTGACGCAGCAGGGCAACGGAAGAAACGAAAGAGACAGTCCGCCGCGGGTCTGGGAGCAGGAGCCATTGCTCTCCCCAGTAGGCATCTCTACCATCTGCCTGCAACTTCCTGCAATGCTGTGCTGGTGTTATTTGATGCGGGAAGCATGTCATTGGGTGGGATGACCATGATACATACAGAACTTACCTCTTCTGCTGTGCCCTCCCCTAATCGTCTTGGCAGTAACCAAACCAGCTCAACGCCTTTGTTGTGGTCTTCTTCGACTATTTGTTCAGGGTGAGCTGCATGTCCTTTACCACCGTTCAGGACAGGACAAAGTATAACCCTCCGCATTATGAAGCTCATGATTGTTGTTCTGGGTTGTATTTTTGGTACTGCAGAAGCAGTTGGTCGTGCAACAGAGCAGGCAGAGGTGGAAGGTTCCACTGAAATTGAAGGAACTCACTTAGAAAGGATTCTTCCAAAGCTGCTCTTGGACTTCTGAGTGCCATGCCAAGCTGCAGCTTATGAAGCATTTTTAAGCCCCAGCCAGGCTTGTACCGTACTTAAAACCAGGGTGCACATTCAACGCGGTTCGGCTTGAGATGTTGGGAAGGGGGTTTGGAGAAAAACAGTGATTGGCTCACGAGGGGCGACAAAAAAATGATTCCGCTAGAGCTTCGGGCATTTCGTAGGTGGCGGGAGGGGGTGAAATGGCGGGAGTGGGTGAAACCGAATGGCGGGAGGGATGAAACAGATTGGCGGGAGGGGGGGGAAACGAAATTGCGGGGGAGGGGGGAAACAAAATTGCGGGGGAGGGGGGAAACGAATTTCGACGGGGAGGGGGAAATGAAATTGCGGGGGCGTGGGGAAACGAAATTGCGGGGGAGGGGGGAAACGAATTTCGACTTGAAGGGGTTGAAAGCACACCTCGTAACCCACTCAGTCAAGGGATAACCTTTGATGCACATTCAGCTGAATGTGCACCCCGGTTTTAACATTCCAGCAGCGACATGAGTTGGATTCGAAACCATTGTGAACATGAAGTGGCAGCAGCAAGCCTGAGAGATACACTCAGAATCTTCATGAACCGACATATGAACAGCCTGCATACATGAATGATCTTATCGTGATAAGAATCTTCTAAGGACAAATGCTGCATTCTGCAGTATATCTTTTACAATGACCATCACATTCCAGCAGCAGTAAGGAATTTAATGCTTCACTGTTGTCACAAGATCAAGAAGCATCCCAGTAACCTGCAAATCAGCTCAACAAAATGGTGTTTATTTCAGCAAAAAGAAAGATGCGAGGACAGAACGAAAGACGGATAAATGGCACATTAACTAAGGTTTTTTTTTTTTTTCGAAAACTCACATCTTTCGACACATTGCCCGCTTCCTTAGTCAGCTGATCAATCTTCTGCCTCGTTTGCACCTCCAGCCGCTTCACAGTCGCTTCCGAGTCGCCTGACGTCTAAGGACACAGACAAACAAACATGTATCAGACGCGCTAAAACTGATCAACCGACAGCAGGCGCCTGCATACAGACACAGTGGGTCAATGCAACGCCACGGCGAAGTAACACTTACCCCGGCCTTTTTCTTCCTGTACTCCTCCTCACGCTGAGCGCGGTAAGCAGCGGCTTCCCTCTCCGCTTCCTCCTTCGCTTGCCTCAACCTGGCAGTTTTGGCTGGAAGATTAAATAGTAAACAAAATGGTAGTGAGGAAAATAGTACGTGATCCGAAACTGAAGGAGACCAGGAAAGGATCCTGTGAGACAGGGGGACTATTTTCTACTCGTTGCATCGTGAGTGAAAAGCTTCGAACCGCAGAAACTAGCGGCTCACCTGCACGAGCTGCAGCTACGACCTTCTGGGCTTCTTGCTCTGCCGCTAAAAGAAGCTGAATGCCTCCTTCCCGAGACGACGAACCATCCATGGCACCGGATCTATTGAGAATGACCACGCAGGGAGGAGCTAGTGCCTCCTTTAGTGAAGCAAGCAATGCAGGAATGTCTGTTGAGCTGATCACAGAAGCTAGGGTAACGCGGACTGCCAGTCAGAATGCCAGGAACAGCAGCGAAAGCACGTACAGCTCGAAAAAGCCAACACGGACAAGGGCGGGTTGAGCAAGGGAATGAAGAAATCTCGATACTGCCGAGATTTGTGGTGGAACAATTTGCATGTGCAATAACACTATACAATGAATTTGGCGAAGTTCCTCACTTATCACAATTATTTAGTATTGGTACGGTACTAGAAAACTTGTCAATTGCATTTACTTTAGATACGGATCACATTCGCACACGCCATCTACATACTATCTTTAGAATGTACCTACTTATTATACCAAAACTCGTGTCCACACTCATGTCCTCTGTCTCTCAATCCATCCACTTCAATGGATCAATTGCCCCCTTGTGCTTCCACGATAAGCATCGGGAAATGAAGTTCTGAAGGGCCGGTTTGCTAACAGGCTTGCTCAAGTAAGAGTTCATGCCAGCAGCCTTGCACTCGGACTCTATCCCAGACCCCACATCTGCTGTCAGTGCTGCCACCACCGGCTGCTGCTCTGGTGGCAGCTCCCTCTGAAGGAAAGAGTGAAAATGGAGGGAGAGAGAAGAGAAGCACGGATGAGGTCGACATGTGCCTCAACTGTTCAAGCAAGACAGTTGAGGCACAGAGAAAGACTGAAATGCTCATGCATGTCTGAATTTGAACGGAGAGCAGTGAGGAGCAGTTGAGAGCGGTGGAGAGGGGTTGTGTGGGTTACTCTGAGGCAGGCGGTGGCAGTGAGGCCGTCCATCTCGGGCATCTGCACGTCCATGAGCACCAGATCCACTGTCACCTGCCGCAGCCGCTGCATCACCTGGTGGCCCCATGCACACGCAGTGCCACCGCCAGGGGGGTGGGGGAAAGGGAGAGAGGAATCAGACAGCAGCGGTGGAGCGTAAAGGGAAGCCGTGTAGCAGTGCAGCAAGGTGTGTAGAAGCAGAGGGGCAGTGGTGAACAAGGGAGTACCTCGAGTCCGTTGATGGCAGTGTAGCACGACCTCACCCCGATGCCATTCAGCAGCTTCAGCAGCACCTGCACCCCCCCATGCAAGGCAATTTCGCACACAGTAGAGTGTCAGTACCGGCCCACATGCACACACGCCTGGCAACAAACAGCACCTGTGTTCAGCGTGCACACTGGAACAACTATCACACAGTGGGCGGGCAGAGCGCAAAGTGACACCAGTCGCCACAAGCACGCACGCGCTGGTTGACGATGTTGTCCTCCGCGATGAGCACCTGCAGGTCCCCCGGGCGTGGGCTGGACCGCTCCGCCCGCACCACGCCCAGCGGCATCGGCTCCTTCACCACCGCCACCCGCAGTGCCGCCACGTCCCGCGCCACCGCCTTCGCCACCTCCTCCGGCGCCGACCCTGCTGCCGGACCTGGGGTTGTTGCGCGGGATGGGATGGTGTAGGGGAGGTGTGAAGCGCGGGTGTGGTGTGAGGGGCGTGAGGTAGGGTGTGGTGGGGTGGGGATGTGTGGTGATGAGTGAGCAGGGGTGGAAGACTACAAGGCAGGAATTGACAATGACTGGTATGGGTGCTTGCATGGAAGAAAAGAAGAGCGGTTGCATGCAGTGCAGGCTAGACCTGACCGTACCTGCCGTGGAGGGCAGATTTGCGCGTACCTGCAGTGGAGGGTAGACCTGGGCGTACCTGCCGTGGAGGGTAGACCTGACCGTACCTGCCGTGGAGGGTAGACCTGACTGTACCTGCCGTGGAGGGCAGATTTGCACGTACCTGCAGTGGAGGGTAGACCTGACCGTACCTGCCGTGGAGGGCAGATTTGCACGTACCTGCAGTGGAGGGTAGACCTGACCGTACCTGCCGTGGAGGGTAGATCTGGGCGTACCTGCAGTGAAGACAGAGGTGGGGATGGAGGCGGGCAGGGAGGCGAGGGCGGCGGAGGAGCAGCCAGCGAAGGAGGAGGGCACGGAGATGCCCGACAGCCCTGCCGGCCCCGGTGACGGCGACACGGCGGACGGCGCTGGTCGCAGGCCCAAGGGCTCCTGCACGGGGCAAGGGGCGTGGGGCAACGGTGGAGGGACGAGGTGAGACGGCGGAGGGGGAGGGGGAATGGAGAGGGGAAAGGGGCGAGGGGGGAAGATGGGGGAGGAGCGGAGAAGGAGATGGTGGAGGGGCTGCGATACTGTACACTTCATGCGATAGTGTACACTTCATGCGATAGTGTACACTTCATGCGATAGTGTACACTTCATGCGATAGTGTACACTTCATGCGATACTGTACACTTCATGCGATACTGTACACTTCATGCGATAGTGTACGCCTCATGCGATACTGTACACGTCATGCGATAGTGTACGCTTTATGCAATACGGTACGCTTCATGCGATACTGTACACTTCATGCGATACTGTACACTTCATGCGATACTGTACGCTTCATGCAATACTGTACGCTTCATGCGATACTGTACACTTCATGCGATACTGTACGCTTCATTAGTCATACCACTACCAGGTATTGAGAACAATGACACTGTACGGGATGCAGTATGGTGTGAGAGAGGGGGAAGGGACTAGGGACTGAAGAGGGGTAAGGGACAAGGGACGAGGGTCTAGAGACTCACGTCGAAGAAGGCGGGGGTGTCGTAGCGGGGGGAGTCGGGGACAGCAGGGAGGGTGGCGAGGGCGGAGGGGGCGAGGTACTGGATGAGGTGCTTGTACAGCTGGTTCACGCGCACTGGGCGCGACAGCACCGCCACCTTGCGCTGCCAACATTCGATAAGGGTGGGGGGCGAGAGGAAGGGGAAGCGAGGGGGGAGTGAGGGAGAAGAGAGGATGAGGGGAGAGGCAATGCTGTTGTTGTTCACTCGCACATGCACTGACAGGATGATGCAATGGAGGATGAGAGGGGCAGGGAGAGAACATCCGGAAGCAGAATACTGCGGGAAGAGGTGGAGCAAGCAGTGGAGGGAGCAGCGCAAACAGGGGCAAACAGGGAGGGCGGAACCGAAAGCAACTGCTGCTGGGCCGCGAGTAAACCCACTTTTGGGCTGCAACCAAGTTTTTTCTAACTGCCAGCAAGGCTCACCAGGAGCGCGGGGTCGAAGGGCAGTTGGCGCTTGGAGTGTTTGGAGAGGAAGAGGAAGGTGGGTGCAGTGCTGGCACACGCACACCCCAGGTGCATCATCAGCAGCGCGCGCTCCTGCTCATGCTGCGCCGCCAGCGCCAATGCCAACGCTCCTCCCCCTCCGTACCGCCCTTGTCCGCCAGTCCCTCGGCTGTTGCTCGTGACTGCTGGTCCGTCTACAAGCACCACG